CATAGAACAAAACTGTGGCAATACGATTTCCGGTTCCGAGACTCTCAAAACTCTTGGATTCTTCTTTCTTGGCATGATCGAAATGTGGATCATAATGTCCTCCGATTCCATAATTAGCAATTTGAAGTTCCTCGGCAGTTTCCATCTCCAAATTAGTCATCAAATCAATTCTCTTGTTGACTCTCTCGACGACTTCATGCTCCCAAGCCTTCAACCAGGCACTCTTGGAGATACGGTAAGTGGCAGTGACCAATTTTCCGGTAACTGAGTCGTGGACAGTGGCTCTTGCGAGTTTTGGTTTGGCAAGTTCTTGAATCGTAGCAACTTCTTCGTCAGAAATGACATCCTTGAAAAGGACAGCAAGTGGATTGAATCTTTTGATTTCGACTTTAATTGGAGCGTAGATCAAGAATGGGCGGTCTCTTTTGTAGTAGCAGTACAGCTTGGAAATATCTTTTTGAGAAACTGGAACCTCGTTTCTACACAAAGCCTCGTACATTGTTCTTTCAGTGTTTCCAAGGACCGAATCGGGACGACGGTTTTGGATTGGTGGAATGCTCTTTCTCATCTCACTGCGACGAACGCCTTCTTGCTCCAGAAGATCTTCATACCATTTGATATTTCCTTTGGCACGTGGATGAGCTGGGTCTGAAATTCGATTTGAGAGCCAGCTCAATTGTTTAAGAACTTACTCATTTTGTACAACTCGTCAGTTAATTTGAGAGCGTGTTTAAGATTATTTTGTTTGTAAAGAGCGAATGCGAGATACTCGAGAATCTGAAAAAAGTTTCATTTAGAAAAGAAATCTTGGACTTTTCAGCTCACATCTTCCATATCAGCAGTTGGTTCCTCTTCATCATCCATTCTTCTCTTAGCCTCTTCCATCCACATAACCGTATGATAGAAGTCGTGCTCGTTGTAGGCAGCACGAGCAATCTCAAAGCAGTCTTTTGCCGAGAAAGTGTAGTTTCCTTGATCCTGATAAATCTTTCCATCGGCCAAATCTTTGGTATCCAAACGATAAGTGTCTTGAAGACGGAGTAATCCGATGGCAGCTCCACTCAAATCATCAGCAGTTGGATAACGCACACCGTAGTTATCATCTGTGATTGAGGACACATGAATGCCAGCTTTGTTAGCATTCATTTTCGATTCGATCTCTTTCCAGTCAAAGATCTGTAATTAAATCTTTTTCCGATCGAGTATTTGAAAATTACCGGAAAATATGTAATAAACTTTTAAAATTTGGGCTAACTTATCTCAGTTCCTGTAAAAGATATCCGAAAGTAGTCAACTGACAAAATGTTCATCACAATATGTATCACCAAGATTTTATCAAGGGGGTACAAATTGGTTTAAGGGACAAAATCAACAATTCGAGGGTACAAAACTGAACGGTTTTCTTGTATTTTGTACCCCAGAATCGAAGATTTCGTACCCCTAATAGTAAATTTCTTTGTATCCCAATGACCCCAAAATTTTGTACCTTCCGAATCACTTGTCCAATGTGGGGTCCTTCTATTACAGATTTTACGGTTAAACTATTACCTTTCTCTTGATCAACAAGAACGCATTGATTGGATTCACAATATCATTCATTCCATTGGCAATCGATTGCTCATTCTTTTTCGAATACTCCTCTGACAGCTTCTTCAACTGAACGAGTCTCTCTTCCTCTTCATGAATGTATTTGTCCAGCAGTTTTGGAATATTTCTTTCGGTTTCTAGCAGTTGCTGCATATCCGCAATTGAAGTGAACAAGTCTGCTGAGGCATGGCCAAACAGTGCCAGCACAAGAAGTGCTAGACGCATTCTGAAATTATATTTTTGAGTTTCAGAAGAATGAGAGAAGAACCGAAAACGGGGTGAAAGGTGTGTGATTTAACGAGAAAGAGGAAGTTTTGTTTAAAGAGAGATAGTCGGTTAAATAGTGGGTCTGGTTTCTCCACGTAGACTTACAAGAATTGGGAAATGAGAGATCAGAAGACAAAGAGACGCAGAGAAGAACTAGAAGACGTTGACTTGATGAAAATGAAAGTGAGAAAAATTATCAGGGTTAATGAAGGTACTAATTTTTGATTCGAAGAATTGGTGTAGGATTGTAATGCTTCCGAATGGATTTATTTTAAAAGTTTCAGGTAGATATATTCTTCAATTCTTGGTTCCAATGTGTGTAAAATTGTTTATTTAGTTGGAATAGGGCTAGAAAGATAACTGAACCGTTTCAAAAAAACTTTTTTTGGAATCCACCGTAAGCGCTTTAATAGACGTTGGGCTTGTTTATCTCGGTTCCTACGAGAGATATCCAAAATTTGTGAATTGATAAATATTGTTGATATCATGATGAACAATTTATTAGTTGACAAAATTTTGATATCTAACACAGGAAACGAGATAATTGAGCTCAAAGTGCAAGTATTAGGAACTTCTATTAGGACATCTACCATACTTCATTCAACACAATGCACTCCAATAAAATTCTTTCAAATTTTTTCATCAAAATCCCAACAAAAAGTTTCAATCCGTAGGTGGAGTTTGAGGGCGTTTAACCCCTATTGTAAGAATTTTTCATTTGAGCTGTAACAATGAATACGAGCACACATATTGACACATCATCGTAACGTTACGAATACCAATGACAAATAGAGAATAGGACATGAGGACTATGAAACTCAACTGGCAGTTGAAAAAAAATTAGAATCGAAAACTATTGAAAGTTGAAATTGCAGACTTCTAGCCGAAAGATCTGATATGAATGAAAAAACAAATGGATACCAAAAAAGTTGCGACTCGGGAATTCTTAAATTGCCATTTTCCGGTTCGGGATACTATAAAACCCATACGTGCAAAAATCGTTGAATGTCCGGCCCGGATGCGTATTTTTTTGGCTCTTTCCGGGAAGAACGGTCACAAATCGGGACCGCCGGTTCCATCATCGGACCACCGGTCCCAAGAATTGCGACAACGGTCCCATTGTTTCCGATGTTTCCGATCGGGTTTCCAGATTAAGTCTGGTTGGGACCGTTGTCGTACCCTTGGAACTGTCGGAACGTTGTGACCGTTCTCGGGACATTGGGACCGTTGTCGAAACAATAGGACCGTTGTCCATACAATGGGACCGTTGTCACAATTCGTTGGGACCGTTCTTCCCGGAAAGAGCCTTTTTTTGGTCGAAATTTATCAAAAAAAAATTTTTTTGTTAAATTTTTGAGATTTTTAAACAAAAAATTAGCTTTTGAGAAAAAAAATGTTTTTTCAAAAATGCAATTTTCAGTTCGACCCCGCCTCCGGAAAAGAATCAGAAAAAAAATTATTTTTCAAAATTTTGTTTAACCTTTTCCAAATTCAATTTTTACATTTAGCTTAAAATCAGATGATAAAAACAACTTTTTTCCAAAAAAAAAACAAGCTTTTTTGCTTAAATTTGGAAGCTGGCGCCAACTGTCCGGCCTTCCGGGCCTCGGAGGCCGGGCCTTGACCAATTTTTTGAAGACCTGGCTCGGCCCGGCTCAAGTATGATAAAACCTGTAACGAAACGTCCCATAAATTTTAACTTTGAGACAATTTTTCTCGGTTCCTGTGAAAGATATTGAAAATTTACTAACTGACAAATTGTTTATCATAAAATAACATCAGCGGACACATGTTTTTTATTTTGCATAGAAATTGAGATAATCGAGCTCAAACTTGACATTTCTGGATATTACAGGTTTTACGTTACTCGCCAAGGCTCCTTTTAATAACCGGAATCTTATAATTCGTCATTTTACTAACGCTTCTCCTTCACACATCAAAAATCCATCAATCGACGCATAAAAAAGTTTGGAAAAGCCTCTTCTGCAGATCCAGTTACGATACATTCTGCTGCGCGAGATCCTTGAATGGGCGGCGCGGATACTTTTCTTCTTCTTCCTCTTCTTTTCAAGAAATACACGTATTCTTTTGAATCGGAAGTATTGACAGAGAAAAGACAAAAAGAAGAGGAAGGGTAGGTATAGAAAATAGAAGATTTCGAACAAAAGGTGTTAGAAAGGCATAGAGAAACGAATTGGTGGAATAATTGGATGACTGGGAAGGGGATGAAAAGCTAAAAATAATAGGAATGAGGTGAATGGTTAATTAGGTTGAAATGTCACGGTTTGAGACGATTTACTGTGGTGGACAGATGGATTTTCTACCCTATAATTTCAGAAAAAACTGTAGTCAAGAACCTTTTTAACTGGATGATCAATTTTTATGAAAATGATTTATTTTTTAGGTTAGAACAGTTTTCGAACATTTTAATTGAATATTAGAAAAACCTTCACTTTCTAGGAATTGGCTTTTTAAGCTTTTTTTCTTAGCTTTGATAAATTAGCTTGAAGCTTATTAGCTTCAATTAAAAAGCTAAAAATCAATATTCTTCCGAAAATAAAGTACTTGTTAAAAACTTTCCGATGGAAAACTAATCAAACTAAAAGTCAAAGTTTGACTGTCAAACTAAGAATTACACCAAGTCGAAATTTCAAACTAGAACAATTTGATGGCTTGACCTGAGATTTAAAAAAACACATTTTTTCTGGCTTATGAACTCCAATTACACTGAGATTAGGTAAATAAAAATCCAATAAGTTTTACAGGGTTCCAATAATGACCAGGACGATTAAAAAATGGCTGACCTAATTTGAATCTCTAAAGTTTTTGCTGGAAAAAAGTTGCAACACAAAAACAATAGCAGAAAAAAGAATAGCAGAGTAAAGGGTCAGTGGGACACAGATTGAGTATATATTTTTGTGTGGTGACTGGCCACCTCCTGACAAACCGCCAGCCGTCCGTCCCTCCTCTGTCTTCTTTTTTCTTCTGTCTTCTCAATAGGAAGAAATAGTATGGGATTGGAGGAGAGTGTCAGAGACAGCTGCTAAGGAGGACGCGTTGGAAGTTGTGACGAAGAAGAAGAGGACGCCTGGTTGGGTCAAATGAGAAGAAGAACGGGAGTAAGAGATTAGAGAGGGAGACCTAGATGGGTATCAAGAGATATGGTACGTACTGTGATTTTTTATAGGATTTACTTAGCCATTGCCCACAACTTTTTGGGCTGGTCTTCTGAGCAGGAATTGGGTTTGGCTCCATATATCTGTGATACCACCTAACGCCAGTTCGGAATACATTCGCTCAAGTTTCACCTATCTCGTTGGGCATTAATAACTTTACCTATCTCGTTGGACTTTAATAACTTGGAATTGACTAGGTCATCTAATTTTAAAACAATGACTTCGGAGTAAGTGCGCAAAGTGGATTGTAGACTTCAACCGATATCAAAAGATTCAAAGATTAATATACCTGAATTTTTAAATATCCAGAAACGGAATTATACCAAATTTCATGCAATGGTTTTCAGATTCTTTGTTTTTAAAGTTCGTTGGAAGACAAGAGGCTGAAATTCTTAACTATGGCAAATGTTTGGGTTTGCTCTTTTTTGTTTCAATCTGATATCGAAAAAAGTTATTTGAGCGAAGCACCGATGAAGTTTCGAATGCTCCAAGAACGTTATGAATGAATAAATTCAGAGTTTCCTTGAAATGGAACATTGATGGTCTTTGAAGAATCGATGACTCCAAATAATTTCTGACTATGAGAAAACTTTTAGTGACCCAGAAATGCCAGTTTCCATATTACAGGGTCCGCCAAAATTACGTGTGCACAACTTTGACGCCATGGCGCTGCGCACTGACGCACTTTTGGTGCGCAATTTTTTAAAATTTTTATTAATTATTTCATTATTTATTAGTTTGCCAAGTTTCATCCCAATCGGTTATGTTTTAGGTAAATGACAGCGGCAAGTCCTCATCGTACTCTGATCGTCGACTTTTACAAGCGAGGTTTAAGCACAGGAGACATTTCTAAACGACTCGGAGTGCACCGAAACACGGTTTTCGCGACCATCCGTCGTTTCAACCAGCTTGGCCACCTCAAGGACCGTACGGGAAGAGGAAGACCGAGGACTGTAAGAACTCCAGCGAAAGTCAAGGCCGTCCGGGAGAAAGTCAGGCGAAATGCTCATCGTTCCATGAAAAAGATGTCAGATGACATGGATATCTCCTATACATCAATGAGGAGAATTGTCAGAAAAGAGCTGAAGATGACCTCTTATCGAGCAACAAAAGCTGCTATTCTATCCCAAGCCAATAAGGAGAAACGGCTCATCAAAGCGAAGCGCCTTCTCGCTGGCACGCGCAAAAAGGATCATCTTATCACCATCTTCTCGGACGAGAAACTCTTCAGTGTCGAGGCTGAATTTAATAGCCAAAACCACCGAGTGCTGGCCACAAATATTCAACAAGCAGCTGAGCGTGGTAAAACAATCCATCGAGCCTCTCATCCTGCGAGCATCATGGTTTTCGGAGCGGTTTGCTATGATGGGAAGTGTCCGCTTGTTTTCGTTGATAAAGGCGTGAAAATCAACCAAAAATACTACGTTGAGGAGATTCTGGAGAAGCATGTGCTACCGTGGGCTCAAAACCACTTCGGTCAGAAGAAATACATCTTCCAGCAAGATGGAGCGCCTGCTCATACCGCAAAAATGGCTCAACAGTGGTGCAAGGACCACTTCCCCGCCTTCATACCAAAGGACGAATGGCCGGCTTCGTCGCCTGATCTGAACCCGCTCGACTACTCCGTATGGGGAGTTCTGCAGAATAAGGTCTGCGCAAGACCTCATGCAAATATCGAGGCCCTGAAGAAGTCGTTGTCTGAGGAATTTGACAAATTATCCGTCGAATACCTGCGTGCCACCATTGATGCCTTCCCTCGACACTTCGTGCCGTGGTCGCTGCCAAAGGAGGTAGAATCGAATAATTTTTGTTGAATTATGATTTCAAGCGTTGAAATAAACTGTCTGTTAAATTTCGTCTTAATCTCGCATCTACTTCTGGAGATAACGTCATCTACACTTGCACACGTAATTTTGGCGGACCCTGTACAGTTAGGAGCTTAATTACCTAAAGTTAGACTAAAGTTTGTACTTGTTTGTACAACTTATTTGATCAACATTGAGCTGAGTTATCGCTTGTCAAAGTTGCTTTATCTCATGAAAATCACAACGGAGTACAAGAAACATTTCATCTTTGGTCTAAAGATATACTAGCTTTTATCAGTCCGGTTAATGGTGCGCCACCCTGTAGACCGAACTCTGTATCAGAAAACTTTTCCATATAAGGCTTTATTAGTCGGATGACGTTAACAATTTCAACTGTTTTTTGGATAATTTTTTGAGAGTTAACACCGTATTCCCCTAAAAGACTAATTTTTTGAAGCTCCAAGTAGACGAAAACATTAAATAGAAAATATTATCTCGAATCACTTTTTATTTACAAAAAAAATGAGTTGAGAAAAAAGGTGCAAAAAACAAGCTGATAAATATATTTTTGATGGTTCAAAAATGTAAAGAGATCGGAAAAAAGAACATAGAGATTTTTGGGAAACATTAAAGTGATGATATGAAATTTAAAGAAAATTAGAATATTGAATAAATTTTTTTTAATTTTTGATTTATTTGTTTATTAATTTTTTTTTAATTGAAAGAAAACAATTGAGAGATCGGAAAAAAATAGGAAAGGAACCAGGGAAAACAATAGAAAAGAAAACAGTACTGGAGCATTAACTTTGAAAGAACAATCAGAGTCCAGTGTACCCGTTTGGAGCAGTGTTCTCTGCGTTTCCGTTGTTGAATTGATTGATCATTTGGTTCCAGTGCCATTCCTGTGCTGCTTGATAGTATGGAGGAATACAAAATTGGTTCTGTCCGGCGAAATCAAATAGTTGTTGCTGCTGGTTTTGCTGCTGGTGCATCATCGGATATCCATTTTGATGGTATTGGAATTGATTGAACATGACTGGGGCAACTGGATTCATAGGCTGATCCCATGGAGATGGTGGTGTGCCCGTTGGTGGACTACAGGAAGAAGAGCTTGATGACGTGGATCTTCTTTTGGCATCTGGTGACTTGTCATCTGAATCAAATGAGTTTCGTTTCTTGCCATTTGACCGGAATCCTGATGCAAATTTGTTGTGGGACACTTTCAATCTGATGATTTCTTCACATTGATAAGCAGTGACAACATAGAATTCAGTGATATTCAATCGGAACTGCTCTCCCATCTGTTCATTAGTCTTTTTGATAGTGATCACTGGTCGGAACTTGTGCATGCTTTGGACTACAATCAGCTTCTTATCAGTGTTCTCTGGATTATTAGTGATTTTAAGATGCTGGAATGATAAAGTCTCTTTCATCCAATGGGATCCTGCACGCGCGCCATCTGGGTGTTGCTTATATTCAATTGGAAGCATTTTGTCTCCTTTCCCGAAGTCTTGCCATTTTCCAGCATCAAATTTGTATCTAGAAGAAAGAAAATAATTGAAAAGTCTAAAGTATTCCAAATAACTCACTTCTTATCATCAGTACGTTCCAGGTGAATGAATACTTCATAGTGTGCATTTGGTTCCAATCCAGTCAAATTGTAATTCAGATGCGGGAAGATCACACGTCCCTTTCTCTTTGTAACAATCATTTCAGTGTTTGGATAGAACTTTTTCCATGTCTTCGAATCGGCCAAACTCAGATTAATCCCAGATGCTGATGTGATACTTTCCATTTTTAGAGATCTGAAACAGAATCGATTTGTTGATTTCGATTGGGAAGTGAGAACAGAAAAAGAAGAGAATAAAATGAGTCGAGTAGCGGATCTAACCTACCCGGAACTAACTATGGGACCACACATGTCCACATGGTTCCTCCTGGGAAGTAATATGGACAGTGGGATAGACGGACCTAACCGAAATAAGGAATACGCTTGTGATGTGATGAGGGTGGTTCCGTGTTTTGACAGGAAGGTCTGGGGAAGTGGAAACTGCAGTAACCCAGACCATCAGATTGAAATAGAACTATTACACAATCGGAACGCCGCAAAATAGAACTAGTCGAAATAGAACTCATGAAGCGAATTCTCAATCTTTATTCTTTGCAAGTTTCAGCTTTTCCCAGGGACAGAAAAAAATTGAGAAAAACGATTCCGAACGATTTAAAGTCGGGATAAGCTCCCAGTTCCGGATCTAACCTAACCAGACCTAACTTCGGTATCATGGTTCCTCATGGGAAGTTATATTGACAGTCTGATAGACGGACCTAACTGAAATAAGGAACACGCATGTTATGTGACATGTGATGAGGGAGGTTCGGTGTTTTGAAAAGAAAATCTGGGAAGATGGAAACTACAGTAACCCGAACCATCATATTGACAAGAAGCTAGAATATAAATCTGAAGTCGTAAAAAAAACATGATCCAGTAACTTTCTAACACGAGTTTTTAAATTTAAACTTGGAAAATCGCTTAGTTCGCCCTAGTTGTGTCTAGTACTGTACCGCTACCTACTGACCCAGCTGGCACTTTGAACTAAAAACAAAAAACGAATGCCCCCAGGCGGGATTGAACCGCCGACCTTCTGTTTACGAGACAGACGCTCTGCCACTGAGCTATACGGGCTTCGAAATCAATTGGACATTGAAGTACTTATGAGACAGAGCAGAAAAGAGACGTAGGATGGAAAAGGAAAGCGAGCGGCGCCAGTGGAAAGAAGAAGAAGAAGAAGAAGGGAAAAAAGGAGCGTAAAGAAAAGGAAGCGGGGGTAAGGAGCGCGTACAAAAGAGTGAGTTGGGACGAACTATGAATCCTATAAGAAGAAGGAATCCTAGAAATTCAAGAATAAATCAATAGATGCATTTTAAAAGGAAGATTGTAGTCCTAGAGCAACCGAGGTGATCTAACTGAATGAAAGCAAAAAATGAGTTGGACCGTCGAGATCTCAATAGGCGGGACTTTCGCATAACCTAACTAAACTCCCGCATAGTTAGCCAGAGTGGGCGGAGTCTTCTCAGAGAGACACAGTAACCAGAACTAACTAGATGAACCTCTTCACATTGTCACAATTAACACCCATGAGTTAGATCCGTCTATTCCACATGCGCCTAGCAATACTTCTTTCCAGGAGGAAAACAAAATTTAGAAAAAACAAATAATTTTTAATCAAATCAAAGAACTTAAAAAAAGCTAATCCAGAATTAATACAATCGAAGGTTTTAAGTTTTTTCTTTAAAAAAACAAAGAGGAGGTCCGTTCGCACATGAGTGCAAGCCATCATAATAAAGAAATAGGGGATCCTCTTCGATGGGAAAAACATCTCTGGGAAAAATGAAAATTAGATAAACACTTTTTAGGGTACTGTAATTGCCGAGTTTGAAGAAGCCTGGAAGTGGTTTATGTAAAGGGTGGCATACCCGGACTGATAAAAACGGATATATCTTTAGACCTAAGTGTCTTAGAAGCATGAAAATTGATAGAAATATAATATTACTTTCAAGTCAAATCTACTGAAATTTTCAAAGCAATTCCTCAAGTCTCTGTATTGTTATGATTGTCCAATGATGAAAGTATCTTATACGAGTTTCATGAGATTTAGCAACTTTGACTATCGATAACTCAGCTCAAAGTTGATACAATGATTTGAAACTTAGCCAGTTTACTCATAAAGTTTATGAATTGCTGCACTCCAAATTTGAGCCCAGTACAACTCTTGACTCAAATTTTATGCTAGCACAAACCGGGTAATTATGCGCACTGGGAAAATCAGGATTTTGAATTTTTCCCTTAATTCTTAATGGGATTCCTTATTTCTTCAACATTTACCCGTCTACCGATTTTTTTCGTTCTTCGTGATACCGTATTTCCTCCAATAGAAGATCATTTAAACCGTTAACTTTGAGCTTAATTATTTCTATTCCCATAAGATATATTTAATTTTTGTCAACTGATAAAATATTGGTGATAGTACGATAAACAAATTATCAGTTGACCACACTCTGATATCCCTCACAGGAATCGAGATAACTGAGTTTAAAGTTGACAGTTGGGTGGGCTTCTATTAGAGGATATACGGTATTTTGAAAAATAGCTAGTTGACGTTTTGAAGCGTATAACGTATTTTGAAAAATGTAAGCTATCGTTACTTCCTCCAATTGCTCAGCTCTAATATCGACAGTTCAGTTGTTCCCGGCTCGAGTGTTTTCCCACATGCCTTCTTTTTAGCGACTCCATTAATAGCTGATGATCCGACCGTTAGTTAAGTCCGGTTGATGTTTTAAAACTTTTTAGAGCTAATTCAAAAATCTAGACGATTCCCGAAATTAGAAGTTTGAGTTAGATCCCCTGACTTAACCGTACACAGTTTTCTAACAACTCAACCCATACCGCCCGTTCGCACTTCAGTGCAAATTATATATTCACTGTTTCCTGAGCAAGGGAATCTCTTTGAATGTGAAGACAGAGGACTTTTTGTTGGAATTCATAGAATTCAAGTATTTCAGTCAGGAACGAAAATATTCAAAACACATAAATTTGATAAGAACAAAAGATAAGCTGATGAGCTTCAGATGACTAAACTGAGGCACACTGGAAAGTGCAAAGTACTGTAAAACAGATATTATTCAATGAAAAACAGGCTTTTCAACTTAAACTGTAGGTACTAGAGAAACGGTAAAAAGGTCTGTAGTTTTGAAATAGCGTCCATGCTCTAATAGACGCCCTAGATAGACTGCACTTCGAGCTTAATTATCTCGGTTCCTATAAGAGATATCGAAAATTGGTCATCTGTTAAAAAATTGGTAATAACATGATAACTAATTTTGCAGTTGACAAAATTTTGATATCTCTCATAGGTACCGAGACAATTGAGCTCAAAGTGGAGCTCCATTAGAGCATTTACAGTAATTAAATCCTGATTACACGTGCTTTAAAACGTAATAATCACGTGTTCTACGAGTTGCCACGCAAGTCTCTTTTTTGTATATGTAAATTCCTTATAATTATTTTTTCCATTTCAACGAAAAATTCAATTTTTATTCAGTTTTTTTCACGAGCTTATTTAAAAAATAGACGTGACATTGCTCCGTTCCCCTTATCTTATCATTAAATCCATCTGTAATTTTGCTATAAAAGAAGGAAGATCTCGGATATAAATCAGTTATTGCCACAACTCGGGCAATATCGGAAATGAGAGCTCTTTCGACCGTTCTCCTCGTCGCCGTCGCTTTGTTGACCAACGCCAAGCAGCCGACTGGACGTCACAACACATTCATCGAGGGTGAATTGACCAAGTACAACCTTGATGACTACATCATCTTGGCGCCTGTTGCGATTCCTGATACGGTTGTCAACTACCAGCAGTTGGTTCCAGATGATCTTAAACAGCTGTTGATTGTGAGTTTTACATTCTTGTGGATTGATAAAATGTTATTGTTTCAGGATCACGTCGATCAAGCTTCTAAGGCATTCCAAGGATTGCCTGATACTGAAAAGGCTAGACTCGCCGTCAAGCTTCCTACACCAGTCCATTCATCTCAAATCAAGCCCTACTCCAACGGAAACGTCAAGAGATCGGCTGGAAAGAACGAAATCGATTTAGATGCAACTGCTGCTCTCTACAAACAAGCTCTTGAGTTCCTCGACAAGTATGATGTTGAGTTGAGAATGCAGTAATTCTCATCGCCCAACGAGACGAACAACACAGAAGTTTGTGCCTTCCGCCCCCAGAATGAGTAAAATCGTGTCTTCTGATATTAGTAGTAATTGTGACTTTTAATTGAATGAATGAAGATTTGAGTTTTTGAGTTTTTTGTATGATTAATTGATTCGCAGCCCACCCGTGCTCTTGGAATCTCGGCTCCTATAAGAGATATCAAAAATTTGTCACCTGATAAAATATTGGCGATATTATGATACAAATTTAGTCAGTTTACTACTTTCTCATATCTTTGACAGAAGCCTAGTTGTGTGAGCTCAAAGTTGCCGGTTTGGCGGATTCAGGGTAAAACTAATATGAGGCAATTGCTACTAACGAAAACAGTTGCATTCGATAATAAATGAAATAAAGTGAAATATAAAATTTTAATTTCCAGCTGTCGGTTAATTTTTTTTATACTTTTTTTGTGTTTTTTTTTCTAAATAACCAAAGAGATTACAAAAAAATTAAAACTTGAAAATCAGAGACCAAAAAAAGTTATATCGTAGAAAGGACCCCTAAATTTTAACTTCGAGCCCATTTATCTCGTTTCTTGTTTAAGATATCAAATAGTAGTCATCTGATAAATTGTTCATCATTATCTCACAAACATTTTATCAGGAAAAACCGTTTTGATATCTTTCAACGGAACCGAGATAAAATAACAATGACAGTGTGGGGGACCTTCTATCACAGGTTTTGGGTATCTAAAAAGTGGTTTTCTCAAAATTTTTCAACCCTCGAACCAGATATTCTTTCTTTCTGCGGCTCTTCACATTTAAAATATTTTAACTCACTTCTTTTATTTTGATCCTTTTTCCCTCATTCACACTGTATAATAGGCCTCATCATCTCCTAGGTGTTAGCGGGACTTTTTGAGGATAAACAAGGCATAGTTAGTTCTGGTGTCAGATCCGTCCTCATGGGAAAATGCAACGGATTTCTTTGGTTTTCTAATATATTATTGTTGTTGTCTTTGAAATCTCATTCCATCAACACTAGATCATAAGTCTCCTTCTCACCTGAGTGATGACGACAGTTGAAACTTTGGAGTACAAAAAAGAGATTGATGTAGTGGTTCAGTATGGGAATACCGTAAAACCTGTAATACCAGAGCCTATAAGTTTTATTTTCGAGCCAATTTATTTTGGTTTCAGTGAAAGATATCAAAATGTTGTCAACTGATTAATTGTTTATCGTAATCTCACAAAAATTTTATCAGTTGACACATTTTTGATATCTTGCATAGGAATTGAGATAATCGAGCTCAAACTTGGTGGTGTGGGGAGCCTTTCTATTGCAAGTTTTACGGTGTATGTGCGGAAATTCAATGATTTTCGCAGACAAAAAACATCAAACTTAAACTGTAGTCATACTTTATTGAAATTTCATAGAAATTAAACTAATCTTAAAATAGACAAGTATTCTTCAACGATTAGCAATGACTCTTCGAACGAGACCAACATATCCAACGATATAAATCACAAAGGTCAAATAGATCATTGCTATCCAATTGGTATACAAATTTCCTGGATCGAACGAGAAGTTCTTGACGACAGTTTGTCCACTTTCTTCACACAACGAAGCTGGAATCGATTGTTTGATCCCATGAGGATCCATTGCTTGACAAGTGATGTTCGAAAACTTTTCATGCTCGAATTGGTTGACCACGAGAGATTCATATCCATATCGGAACCACGAGAGATACTGCACCCAACTGATCCACGCGTGCATCTCGGTAACATTTGTGAAGAGTCCTCCAGTTAGAGAGAATACTGTCAAAAGAGGTCCAGTGACTGTGACAGCAATCGCGTAGGACGGAGCAGTCTGGAAAATAAAATCTCACAATCAGAAATTCTGAAACCATTCCTAGACTCACAGCACAAACAGCAATTCCCAATGCAGCAACATTCCACTCAATAATCATACAAGTTATCAGTTGTCGGATAAATGTTACGAAATTAATTGGGAATCCAACAAAAAAGTAAGAAGCCAAAACGAGAACAATTCCATCAACTGTGAAAATCGGGAGAAACGATAGGATTTTGGCAATGTAGTAGGCGGAAATCGGATAGATTCTGTCATCGTACTCGCGGACCAACGGCGGATAATCAGCTGGCATAAACGCTTGAATTCCGAAAATCGTAGAGTAGGTCAATTCAGAAATGTAGTAGAAGAGAGCTCCTTTGTATCCGGCCAAACCATCCTGATCAACATCGAGTCCGTAGAACAAGAGTCCAATGAAAAGGCCCATGAATAACTTTTGAATTAGTTTTGCTTTCATAATTGCGGGATTGCGGATGTTGTCTAACATGTATCTAAAGTTTAAAAAACAAACTTTTGAAGATACTAAAATAATCTAAAACCTATGAAATAGAGCAGCCAGAAGGACGAAGTAGGATGCTGAATGATGTGGAGTCATTGCTCGAACATCTTCTGTTTGGGTCATCAATTTCAGAAGACGCTCATGGTAGATACTCTTCTCAAACTTGTCGCACAATTCTTGGCAACGCTTCTTGCAGGTTTCAGCTTCAGATGGTCGGATTGCCAAAGTCTGGAATTTCCGATCATTATCTTTAGGACCCCCTCCCTTCATTTTCACTGTTCTGACAGCCTGGTAAGATATATCAAAAATCTGTAGCTGCCATTCATTTTGGAATCCCAAAATACCCGGGAGATAAAATATGACACTCAAAAAACAGTTTTTCCGCCGTTCAATATCTTTAGGACAACCTGAGATTTTTGACGTAATTTCACTTATTGGGCCAGATTTTTGAATGAGTCAATGACCAAAATTCTTTTTTGTGATCTAGGTTTTTGTATTTTCAAGATTTTGCTCAACTTTGCTAATAATTTCTACATTAGAAAATGCTACATAACGGACCTAACCTAACCGGACCTATCTACATGGCAATGGTCCCCCCTGGGAAGGAAAATTGACAGGTAGGGGATAAACGGACCTAACTGAAGTAAGGAATGCGCATGTTGAGTTAAGTATGAAATGCGATGACAAGAATATGGAGAGATTCGGTGGATTTTGAAGGGACGGTCTGGGAAAAACTACAGTAACCCAGACCATCAGATGGACAGATGGCTAGAATGTAAAGCTAACGAAGTTTGTAGAAAGCTTGTGAATTAATAAGCTTGTCAAATCGTAAAAAACAAAATCCAATAACTTCCTAACATGAAATAAAAATTTGTTGACCTATTATATTGTCGAATTTAAAAAAGTGGGACCTGAGAATTTGAAAGGCGTAGCTTTTTTTTGATCTACGAAAAAGTGCGGCAAAAACGTAATATTTCAGACTTTTGCATCGATCGAGCTACTTTCGCAATTAAGTTCGGTTTTTTGATGAAAAATATATTCTAGAGATGCTAACCGAGAAATCTAAATTTTGTCTAGAAAATCCTACTAAATTCACAGAAATAATTTTCATTTACTACCGTAGTGTTTTTGGGGCAAGGCCTCGAAAATTGATCTTGTGCTAATTTTGAAAAGAAAATCTGGGAAGATGGAAACTACAGTAACCCGAACCATCATATTGACAAGAAGCTAGAATATAAAGCTGAAGTCGAAAAAAAACATGATCCAGTAACTTTCTAACACGAGTTTTTAAATTTAAACTTGGAAAATGGCTTAGTTCGCCCTAGTTGTGTCTAGTACTGTACCGCTACCTACTGACCCAGTTGACACTTTGAACTAAAAACAAAAAACGAATGCCCCAGGCGGGATTGAACCGCCGACCTTCTGTTTACGAGACAGATGCTCTGCCACTGAGCTATACGGGCGACGTTTGTTATGCAAACATTAAACATACATCGATGAAATAGTCAGCAGGGTTTGTATGGTCGGGTACTTGGTACCCACATGCAGAAAAATGATGAATAGCCTCGTCAATAGCGCCATGGAATGCGATTCGTCCTTGTGCAAGAAACACGACCTGGAAAATTATGAAATTTTTTGGTGAATTCGGTAGGGCGCATTTACCTTATCGAAAATTTCAAAAACTTCTGATGATGGTTGATGGATAGTGCAGATGATAGTCTTTCCCTTTTCCATAGCCATCGCTTCCAGTGTCTGAAATACTTGTATTATTTTTACTGGGATTACTGTAGCTACTCACTTTGACCACTTGAAGGGACATATGAGAATCCAATCCAGTTGTTGGCTCGTCGCAAAATATGATTGGAGGATTGTTGATCATTTCAGTGGCAAACGCTAATCGTTTCATTTCTCCCCCGGAAATTCCTTTTTTGATTCCCGGAATTCCGATTCGACTGTTCTTGGGTTTCTCCAAAAGCATCTCCTTCATCACTTCCTCGACTCGTTTAGTTCTTTCAGATGATGATGTTCCAGGTGGAAGACGAAGTTTCGCTTGGATATCCAAATGTTCTTTTACATAAAAATTTATATATTTTCCTTCGAATTTAAAAATTAAAAACAAACTGTCAGTGTTCCCATAAAAAGATCCTCCTGCTGAACATATGCTGACACACTGGTCACTCCTTTTCCAATATTCTGTCCATTCACCAGAATCTCCCCTTCTACTTCTAATCCTTTCAGATTCCTCTGAAGCAATGTATTCAAAAGTGTCGTTTTTCCAGCTCCACTAGCTCCCATCAAAGCGATCACTTCTCCCGGAACAGCACATCCACTAACACCATTCAGAAGAACTCGTCCTGCTTTCGTTGTTACCTGAATTTAACTTTTTGAAAAAAAAAACCTGAAAATTTTTCTGAAACCTTCAAATTTTTCCATTGCAACGTCACCAAATTGTCCCATTTACCGACATCAATATCATTGTTTTCAGCCTCTCTTGCACTCAAAAGTGTCTTTGTTGTCTCTGAAATTTCCGATTATTGGGTTCAAAGAATTTTTGTCGTACCGTTTTTAGAGGATTCCATTTGCTAGAAATAGTGGGATCCTACCAATCAACAAATCTTTGTCAAATGAGAACGTGGCAGCTGTTTGGAAAAATTGGACTCTGGAACCTAGATTTCCTTTTCACATTTTATTTAAGGGGACTGGAATCTTATAATAGAGGAGCCCCTAACTTTTAACTTTGAGCAAATTTGCTTGTCAAAGATATAAAAAGATGCTAATCGATGAACTGTTCGAAATAATATCAGAAACATTTTATCAGTTGACATATTTTTGATATCTTGCACAGGAATCGAATAGATTCAGCTCAAACTTAACACTGTGGGGTACTTCTATTACAGGTTTTATGGTACCCTCCAAAAACATCAACCAAACAACACTTTTTGTATTTTTGAATTTTTATTCGACTAGTTTTTTAGTGAGTATAAAATCAGATGATGTGTAGAGTTCAATAATTCAAGTTCTTCTTGTAGTGTTAGTTCATCTCCAGCGGATGATAATTCTGAATTAAATTAATAATAAAATTCGTTGATTCAGTGTTTCGAACTCACTTGTTCAGTCCTATAGTACAAATTTTCGAGTTCCATATCTTGTGGAGCCCATATATCATGATGAAATCCTAACAAATGATGTCCAATTTCATAAATATGCTCTGTTTTGCATCCAGGGACAAGAATTGGATTCCAACCGTATTCTGGAATGTAGACGTCCTCATTTTCATCAATTTCCACTTCCTCTTGTTGCTCCTCTTGGATTAATTGTTGAATCATCTGACGTTTTATCGGAGCATACTGTATTGGAGTGAAAGGAACAGGGTACTGTATTGCGTGTTGAATGGGATACTGTAGTTGTGGGTAAGGAACGAAATAATCAAATGGATACGCATTTTGAGGAGGAGGATGGTACGGTATTTCTGTCATCCCATATCCTCCATACGAATAAGCCGGCTGCCATTGGACAACTTGTTGTTGAGATTCTTGAGGAAGAAGTTTTAGAGAAAGAAGGCTTGCTGGTTTCTCTTCTTCAATGGGACTGGAAGGAAGAAGAGGACACACTAGATTTGCTTTCTTTGCATGTCGAACTGGTATAGATTGATAGCTTTTGACAGCAATGAATTGAAGTAGATCAAAACGATAATCGATTGAAACTCCAGTTGAAACATTTACGATTGAAAGGATTGGAATGTATTTGTGACCTGGTTCCAAGTATGCCTGGAAAAAACGTTCGATATAGTTTTTAGTTATTGGGTTACTGTAATTTCCCAAAAAATCAGATTAATTTTTGTCACCGAAGTTTTCAAAGCTCACCATATTCCGTTTCATTGCCCCAAACTCTCTCGAAATCCGCATTTTATCAAACTGTACAATTCTTGAGTGCCACGTGGCACCTGATTCCTTCCGGCTTTCAGCTACTCCCATTTTACTGTAAAACGCATTCTTGACACACACGGACACTGGAACCCATTGATTTCTCCTGAATGTGTATCTGAAATTGGGTTTTTTTGTGAATGGGGTCTTTTGAAATTATTCAAAATTTTGAAGCTAAAAATATCTACCTTGACTCGTCTACCAATTCAATGCGTAACTTCATCAAATACTCCTCATCATCCACCAATCCACTGATCACAAACTTTGGCTCCGGTTGCAGTTTGGCTCCACTCCTATTCACGATCATCTCGTTGATCGGTTCGAATTCTCTATACTTTTCTTCGTCCACTATGACGACCTGCATTGTTTTGGCAACAGTAACGTATTCTGAAGAACTGTGGGGATTCTCTGTCTCTGTTGAGTAGAACGGTAGCCACACGTGGTTGCCGATGGAAGTTTTGGTGGATTTCCCTTCATCACGTTACTAATTATGGTTTTCTAGAACTTTAGGGCCGGAGCCGACAATTGGGGAGCGAAACTTATGAACTCTTGTGACACAGATCTAGAAATATAGCTTTTTCTAATTCTAGTTATATATTCCGTTTTCCCTATTTTTCTAGAACATTCCCTATCTGCCAACTCGCAAACATCATATCAGGTTACGGTCAGAAGATTAGAATCAGATGACGTGACCGTCTATCCCTCTAGACATCTGAATCTCTTTCTCCCTCTCCTCCAATTTTCCTTTTGTCTGGAAGGAGACGTAAAGTGACATGTTATGTTTTTGTAGCAGCAACAATTCGCGCGCGCGCACTCTTGAAAGCTGACCGGAGAACCGATCGTCTTTTCGGTCATGATAAAAGTGCCGCGCGCAACGACCTTGTGTCTCTCATAAGTAAATTGGGATTAGTCACATGTGACTCGTTACGAAATTTTCTGTATATGTTCTGAGATACGAGTCCTCGTCGATCGCGTGATTGAGGTTTTGTAGACAGCGACTTGAATTCTAGCTTGGGTACTGTATTTCATATAACCACTATGTGTTCTATTATTTTGTTACGAAGTCAATGATTCCGGTACAAAAAAATCGAAGCTGTGGGTGAGGAAAGCCGGTGGTCGTCGCCGAGGGTCCCACAACGACAACAACCGTAACCTAGAAATAATTTTATTTTCAGGATTTATTTTCTCTTTTTTCACTGATTTTCTTCGAATGTTCTGTTATTTTTTCCCCAAAAAAGTCGAAATTTTCGATAATTGACTGAAAAAGAAGGAAAATCAAGAAAATAAATCCTCGGAATAAAATTATTTTTAGGTTAGAGTAGTCGCCGCAGTGGGACCTTCGATCCCAGCCACCGGCTTTTATCTTCCTCAGCTCCGATTGTTGTTGTACCATGATAAAATATGTTCTATTTTCTAAATTTTCATTATCCAAATTTTGAAAAATCTCCAGACCAGCAGGCCCGTCTGATTTCGGACAGGCCCCCGGAGTGTGCGAAACAAATAATTCGGAAAATTCCAACCGAAATGCTTCGAGAGAAAAACATGTCTTCCGAGTTTGGAACCATCATTCTAGAAGTCCCAAAAACCAAGCATATTCCTATATCGAGCTTTTTTAAAACTCAAAATATTCAGAGATTCTGAAATTCCTAAAAGTTCCATACCGTACCCCATGGTCTCGCCTACGCCCGTTTTTACATATATCGTCGGGAGCCCGCTCTAGCTTCGCCCGCGTACCTTTTTTATGCCCCTTTTTTTCCGCATCTGCTCCCTCCTTTCGGTTCAGTCGTTTTTCTTCCGCCTAAAATGTTTACATCATCTCTTCGTTTCAGGCGGTGTGCATGACAAAAGTTTCGCCGCACAGACACTCGAATTGTTTATATTACATTGACAGGAATGCTGGTGGCAGATGTGTGTTCCTGTGGTCGCCTCATTTTTCATTAGATTTTGAAGTTTTATATAGTTTTGAAGAGTAAACAAGTATTTTAGTCATTATATGAGTATCTGCTAGAGGTAGATTGAATCTTGCTTGTCTAGCTTTCCGAAGGGAGGTTTTATAATTTACAACTCTTATACTGGTGCGAAAAAAATCGGAGATGTGGAAGAGAAACGCTAGTGGCAGTGCAGTAAATACGAGAAAAAATCCCGAAAAAAATATATTTGGGTTACTGTAGTTTTCGCTGTGTGTTCGACCAAGCCACCGGAATTTCTCTTTCACGGCTCCGATTTTTTTGTACCATGACACTCCTCTGACCCCAATTCCTCGCAGCTGGTTAAACGGACATTTTCTAGGTTCTCTCTTGTTCCGTTCCACGTCACAGACTCCAACTCTCAGAGAGCTCAAAACTTATCATTGTATAGACTCTATCTTTCTCTGAAAAGTCAAATCAAGCAGATACTAATCATAGCCTTCTTCATTCAACAGAGCAAAGAGCTCTAAGCCTCTTTTTGAATATGTTGTCTTCAAGTACAACGACATTGTGTTCGTCGTGCCAGGTACCAGAGACAGGTTTTGTATTTTTTCGAAAGAAAAAAAACAAGATTTTTGTAGGGATACTAGTAATCCAGACCAGTTTTGAAATCTATACGAGATCAGATGTCTCATAGTTTACATTTTCGTAAGAAAATTCCGAAAAAAGTACACAAGACCTCATAAAATCAGAAAAAGGTCGTTTTCGGTGTTGAGTCGACTCTCGTCTCAATCCAATGAAAAATTCCGTTTTTGTTTAGAAATTCAGATAATTTCAGTGTAGTGAGGCAAAGAGTAAACCAAGTAGGAACCAATGAGACGTGTGTCTAAAATGTTTGATTTTCTGAAATTTCGTCCACATTGATAGTCTCACATTTTAACAGAGCAGTTTTTTTTCAGATTTTAGAGCTTCAAAGTAGAGAAACTTTGAAAATTTTACTTTTCTAAAACATCATAACGCGCGTTGTGGCAACTTGCGACCAAAAATTCGAGAGTGGGCAAGGTCCGGCAGCGAAATCTTTAAAAGAGCATGTAATTTATATGATATATTTCTGGCCTATTTTTCTTGTCTTTGGATGACTTTTCGTTCTTGGAAGAAAAAAAGAAATTTGTCGAATCATTTTTAAAAATTGGTGAGAAAAAAATAACGAAAATTACATGTTCCTTTAGGGATTTCGCTACCGGACCTAAGCTCCGCCCACTCTCAAATTTTTGGTCACAACGCGCATTGAAATTGACCAGACTAATATTTTAAGATTGTTAAAATTTCAAAATATTCACAATTTATGTACTTTTAAACTCTTCAATCCCAAAACAACTCTACTTATATAATCCTAAGGATTTTGCTACCAGACCTAAGCTCCGCCCAACCTTGAAATTATGAAAAATTTGAAGATTTGAAATTTTTTAAATGTTGATTTGAAAAATGGAAAGTTCTGATGTTTAAGATTGCTTTTTGATACTCAGAAATTCGACTCATATTAAATTCAGTCATTTCGATCGCTGGAAAACCTTTTTTCCTAAAGTCCCCTTTCCTTCAATATGTAATCCTATTCATGGCCATACTTTCACATATTTTGACCCAACCTCACGCATTAATATTCATCCAGAATCCAATCAACACCATCTCCTTTCTCTCCATCTATCTTCTCTCCAACTGTTTCTCTTTTGTCGAGTCCATCCATCACTTGGCTCCAATGAGTCGGATCCTTCGGGGCGCTTCCTCACTCTCTCTTTGACACGGTGGCCTTTTCTAATGAATTGAAAAAAAGATGGAAAACAGTAGACACATGTTGAAAGAAGAAGCAATTGTCTGTTGTCTCTCATATCTCCCTACTCTCTGCCTGAATTCCTTGGCTCTCCGTGAAATATGGTAATCGTTTCTCTGTGTCTCCTGTTTCTACAGTATCTTTTGTTTGCAATTCACATCAAATGATTTTTGATCGAATTAGAAAGAACTATACAGACTGTGATGGAGCATACAATGTTTGATTATAATTTCTAATATACAATCAAAAAGTCTCATATTTCGAATGAGAGTTCATTTTTCAGATATATCAGCTCGGAAATCGTAAACTGCAGCAGCAACTCGTTGTGTGAAAAGTGCAATGGCGGAGGCTCCTAACTTTGGCGCATTTCTGTCCTCTTTCAGGCGTGAGTTACATTTTATTCTTTCTAGAAGAGTTTTGATTTTTGGCTCAATGACCCAATCTCATTTTCAGGTTTAGTCACAGAAACCCCAAAACAGGGGGTGAAACATTATGAGGGACTACCTTTTATTATCTACTAGAGAGATTGTGCGGACAATTGACAGTATGGGGGCCCTTCTATTACAGGTCTTACTCTATACTTTTGGCAAAGTTTGAGCTCCATAGTTGTCTTGTAAATTACCGAGACCGCATTTCTGTGGGCAAATGCGGTACGGTTTCTCTGATAAGACAACATCCAAACACTAAATCAGACTGATCATAAAGTATCCGATCCCCACTAGCTAAGATCCTATCCGAATTCATAGAATAGGGTACTACAGGGAGACTTCATTAGACTCACCGCGGGTGTCTTCTTTCTGAAGATTTATGGGTTTAGAGGAGACAGAAAATGGTAGAGAGGAGAGGGGAGAGTCAAATACCATTATTCTATGAGAGAGGTGGTCATGTGAATGCACACACTTATGACCCAGTACGGTGAGAACCAGGATCAATTTCACTTGATTTATATCGTAATCTTGATGTATTTTTTTGTGAATTTGATGGGGAAATCGACATTATAGGATTCATCTCACAATCATTGGGAAAGCAGCAAATACGCTTATAGTGTAAAACCTGTATTAGAAGAGCCGGTCCTTTTTAAGGTCATTTTTCCAAAATATTTAATTAAAAAACTCAGTGAATTCTCGCCTCAAATACATGAAAACTCATCAATTTCACCAAAATAGAGCAAAAAATTGTTTCAACAAATTCATGGGAAATTTTGAAATTTAGGGAATTTTTTAACTGAAAAGGTGCTGAAATTTTCAATTAAAAAAAAGCAGTTTTTAAGAACCCTCTCTGTTTTTCGAAGCCCTTCTCGTAGGGCCTTTCTATTAGAGGGGACCTTCTATTAAAGGATCCTCTTTTTGATACAAGTTCTAAGGTAAGTAAAATTTTTTCCATTGATCACTTCTTCTCCATTTGTATTTCTTTCGATTCTCCGAATTCTCTCTATTTCCTACTAGTCATGCTTGTCACCTACTGGCTACATTTTCTCATCCACCCATATCACATATTCTGATTTCTTGTTACTCTTTTTTCCAATTTCCCCTTTCTCTCTTTTTTGTGCCTCACTTCCTATTCATCTCCTGTCTAGATATCATTTGCTCTTATTCCATTCGATTCATCGCCCTCTATTCGAAAGCATTCAGTCAGAAACACAGAGCTCTTTCTATTCTAACCAGCCGGCTGTACTACCCCATTACTCCTTTCTACCTTAATATCCATTACTCTCCTCGGCTACCTATTGTGATTTTAACGACAATTATAAACCATGCCGCGGGAAAAAGGAGTCGTTCCGAGATCATTCCGAATGCAGCATTGGTTGAGCGATCAGAAGCGAGCTCTGGGAATTGGTAGGTTGGGGTGAAATGTGCCATTTTGGGACATGGTACTCTCAGTTTTACAGTATTTTGAGTTTCGTTTTCTATTTCTAAGAGCTTCTAGAGTTAAAAACCGTCACCAAAAAACAAAAAACCAGTTGCGACGAGATTAACTGGTTTATCAAAACTCTCAAAAAACTAGACTCTGAACTACAACTGGAAAAACTCAAATCTAAAATTAGACCAAAAAATAGAAAGTTCCATGCGTATTGTGTGCATTCCATTGGAAAAAATTATTTCAAAAAACGTCCCAGAAAAAAACACCTGTTGATGTGAATCTTAAACAATGTCTCTGAAAAACTAAACTTATGTAAACAATCTGAATTAACGCTAAATCAAGCAATTTGAGCCAGAAAAAATGGCTCAGAGTTAGGAATACCGTATTTCCACTGATGTTTCCTCTGAACCCAAACCTTCGAATTTGAGCTCAACTATCTCGATAATTGAAGAAAGTATATCCGACCTGTATTAGAAGAGCCCCTTTAATTGAGGGACCCCTCTAATAGAAGGGCCCTCCGAGAAGGGCATTCAAAGATATAAGCATGGAAAAATATTATCTGTAGAAGGGCTCTCTTCGAAATGTGTTGTTTGAAAAAATTTCAGTACATTTTCATAGCTTTTCGCTCAAAAACTCGAATAAAATTTTTTTTTGGAAAAATGGCCGGAAAAATAATTGGAAGGTCCCCCTAATAGAAGGGCCCCGGAGGTACCTTGGAACAATAGAATGGCCGGCGCTTCTAATACACATTTTAGTTTTAAATTCTCTCACTATGAGATCCAGACATCTGTGATCATTGAAAATGTTAAAATTAAAACTGTTAGGCCATTATGTTGAAACCGTCATTCAGTTGTTTTTTTTCAATTTAAAAGTACTCATTATTTTTCTGGAACATTACTCCCTCATTTTCTCTGCTCTCTCCCATATGTACCCTTATTCACCTTCTTATCAGTCATTGTACCATCCCTTGTCTCTGTTTTGAACACCTCTCCACTTTCCCTTTTCTGTGTTCAATGTCTATAACTTCTGATCTGATTACCCACTTTCGTTTGTTTTTTGTTATTGGTCTCCATTTCATTTCTTCCCAGTGGACCACACGTCTAGATAATAGCGTAGGTATGAAAAACATGTAGGTGGCTAGACACATCGGTACGAATTGTGTTTCCGGGTATGATTTTGAAGATGTTCGTTAGATCCCTTGCTCGGAATTCTGAGGAAGCTAAGCCAGAGGATGTGAACTGAAAAGTCTATGCACATTTCAAAGCTTTCCAATTTATCTTAAAGTGTCACACGAGTCCCTTCAATTTTATGGTGGGACGAAGAAGTCGCTCAAGAAAATTGGCGTGGGACATCTTTCTTTTAGAAAAAAAGGAAATTGGAAGGAGTAAAATTGGCGTCGCTAACCGACAAAAAACGGTCCATTAAACCAGCCTCATCCACCCATTCTTCGCCGTCCCGCTCCCGCAACATTTTCGATTCATCGCACATTCGGTCGTTCCTCTCTCTCCATCTGCCTTCTTCTCCTCGTTCCATTTCCTCCTCTTTTTTTTTACTATTTTTCCAGTGAAACATTACGCGCGACACAGACAAAGTCGGTTTTTTTTGTTAGCGCTCTTCTCGATTACAAAGTCTCTAATTCTGAATAGAATGGGAAATTGAGAAGCACAGAGAAATGGGGCACTATTCTTCAGAACATCTAAATAAAAGACCGAGGGCTTGTGACCCCACGGACAGGAGAGAAATATTGAGGATCCAGAAAAAGGACAGATGCAGGGATTCGGTGTCTTTTAGGCCAAGTGAGGCAAATTTATAGTTTTTGGAATGACGAGTCTAATTCTCTAATTTCGTTGAAAAAAAACCTGAAAATAATGGTCAAAGCCTAGAAAATCAGGTACCGTAAAAATGCCTTGGTAATTCAGAAACTATCAGGTCACACTGGATTTCCTTATGTCTAGACGATCCACTTGAAAGTATCTTAAAGTAACAGTCCAACAAAGTTTTAGAAAAAATTCAAAATATTTTTTCCCAGACTCTGAGTTCCAGCTTTTCTGTCAAACTTAACATTGCATTAGACATTGAAATATACCGTATTTCCTTTAATTGAAGCCCACCCAGATCGTTAACTATGACCTTGATTATCTCGATTCCTGTGAAAGATATCAAATATTTGTCAACTACTAAATTGTTTATCATAAAATGATCAATATTTAATTGGTTGTCAATTTTCGAATATCTTTCACATGAATCGAGATAATCAATCTCAAAGTTGACGGTTTGAATGTGCTTCTATCAGAGAAAATACGGTATTCTACGGTAAATACGGTATTAAACGAAATGCTTGTCAAGTTTTTTTTCTGAATTTTCACAGTCTGACGGAGCGAAAAAATAGTTCTTGAGAGAGTGGGAATGTGAAAAAAAAAATTTTCTAGAAGGATCTACGGGTCTGGGAGTTCCGAGCAAGACTGGAAACCCAATCTCTCCAGGACGATTCCTAAATCTTCTACCTTCTGAAAACCCTTGTCCTAACCTCACTAAGCACTTCTTGTCCCTAAACACAATATCAAAAGAAATGTCCCTCTCGGTTAGTATAATCGTCACCTGCTTTCCGATTCTCCCGTCAAAATCCTCCTCCCACATTCAATCTTCATTTGTCTCGTCCGTCCCTTTTACCAAATACCGCCTTCCATGTTAATTCTTATCAATGACACGATCACGGAATAACACCAAGAGACCTATACTATGGTTTTTTATGTCTTTGTCCGGTGGATCGTAATCTAGATTTACTGGGAGATCCCGCGGGCACAGTATCAGTTTCCACAGATTGATTTTTAAAAATATGATCTCAATTTGAAGCCATTGAGTTATCAAAAAATTGAGAACCACATAAATAGTACCTCCACGCTTTCTCAACCACCGTCACTAATCGAAATGACCTCCCTTAAAAGAGACCATTTGGGTAGAAAATGTGTTTCTTTTAATTCTCTTCTCGATCTTCGTTTTTAATTTGATTCATTATCTATTCTGCTTAAGATTTTCTTTGGGAGGTCCTTAAAGACTCATCTGAAAAAAAACATGTCTATAAAAATGGGGCGGGGTACCCAGATAAGCATCATAGGAAAACGACCCAATATAATAGGTCTGGTTCCATTTCTATTCACTCTTTTTTGGTGAATTTCGAACACACAGACAGTGAGGAGGACACGCGAATCAAAAAAAGAAGGGAGGCGGATTAAATGGAGACGAAAAATGTAATAAAAAAAGTTGTCGCGAGGTGGAAAAAGGGCAGAAATGGGGAATAGACACAAAGGGTGAAGAGAAAGAGTAAATCTACTGATTCTCCCGCTTTTTCCAATATTCAGTCGGTGTGAATTTTTTCGAGGCTTTTTTGAAATCAAATTGTGATTTTTAGTCCCAATCCACTTTTCGAAAATCCCAATCTTTGGAATTTTCAAAAACCTTTTCTTCGGAAAATCCCAGTTTTTTCGAAATTTCAAAATTCCTGATTTTTTATAAATGTCTCAGAATTCCAACTGAAAACGTTCGGATAAGAGTCAAAATATTTTTTAAGCATTTCTGAAAGTTAGTAACTTCTTAAAGATGTTTTTAAAGTTTTTCACTGGTAACTTCAGCGAGTTAAACAATCAGAAATTTTTGAGAATTGAAGTTTTCTTTAATAATATGTGCATTTCGTCTACGGCTCTTTAACCAACAGCTATTTACCGTAATACTTCTAATAGAAGGGACCCTAACTTTTAACTCTGAGCCAATTTATCTCGGTTCCTGTTAAAGATACAGAAAAGTTGTCTACTGATAAATTGTTTATCAGAATAACATAATTAATTTATCATTAGACACATTTTTGATATCTTGCACAGGAACCGAGATAAATGAGCTCAAGCGAGGGTGGGCTTCTATTAGAAGAAATACGGTAATCAAGGTCTAAAAATGTGGTCATCCTTGACATTTTTGAAAAGTCTTTCTGTGTTCTGTATGATTTTTTAATGTAAGCTGACCCAAGAACCCCATATGTTTAGTTAGAAGTAATGTGTATCGAGAACACTTCTGAAGACCTCCTTGGCGAAACGAAGTCCGTTATATTAGGATGATTCGCCGTTGTTTCTGACACCCATATTTCTTTAAAAATAATGAGCAAGCCGTTATGACTCGATCCAATTTCCTTTATTTTTTCTCATCTATTCAAGGACGGGGCGAGAAAAAAACCGCGACATGGAGGTATCCCTCCCCTGCGTTTTGCCTCCCGAAAAACGAGGACTTCTCGTTCCAAATATTTGCTCCCTAGGCCACCCCGTTAGCTTTCCTATCGGGAAGTTAGCACATAGAAAAACAGAGACTCAAAAAAGACTGTCTGAAAATGAGAGTGAGAGATGTTCAGAGAAAAAAAAAATGAGTGGGGACGCAGTGAAAACGAACCGTTGTTCCATATTTTATCACACAAGAACTCATACAATACACCGCCCTTTTTACACCCGTTTTCATGTTGGTTTTTCTTTGTGAATTGTCTTTTTTTTTTGAGAAAAAAGGGTGTCGGGTTACTGTAAGTCTATTTGTAAATGTGTGTACTTCGATTGTTGTCCTTTTGATCTGCCAAAAAGGGTTTTTAAACGTGCGCTCTTGCAAACTGTTTGCTACTTACTCACTTGTCCCAATTTCAGAGTTTTAGGTCAGATTATAATTTTTTCGAGAATCATTTGAATCGTCAATTTTTGAATTTACAGTTTTTTCTTGTCCGGCTGCAATAAACATTACGGTGAAAAATTTATTTGAAGGCACATTGTGGAAAGCGAAAATTGTTGAATAATTGACTGCGCATTCGATACCGTATCTCTAAATCAATTTATTATGACTCATTTTGCGTTGTTTTTCTAGATTATAAGGAATTCCGCTGATTTTTCATGAGAATCAGAAGAAAACCAACAAAAAAAACACAATTCTGATCGGAATAGGCAAAAATAAAACAATTTCGAAACACGATATCAAAGGCGCATTCATTTACTCAAAAATTTTCGCTTCCGACAATGCGCATTTAAATAAATTCTCGTCCGCAAGGTTCATCGCCGTCGGACAAGAATAATAGTCTGCTCCTGAAGGTCCCAGAATTTTCTCAAACTTTAAGGTTAAAGGAATGTTTCTGTAAACCGACATCGAAGGGAATTCTCGCATAGTAATTCCTCTTCCGATTATTTTTCCTCCTGTTCCCGCGCCCTCCCCGCTCCTCACCCCGAAAAAAATGTCTGGGAGGTCTCGCTCGTTCTCCCTCCCGGAGAGTGGAACTTGTCTGGCTTCGCTCCTCAAATCAAACACTATCTCAACGTCCCAGACACTTTTGATATGTCGCCTGGCGAGGGGAGGAAAACCGAAAAAGAGGAACGACGGGAAGAAGAAGAAGAGGGCGAGTTTCTCTGCCAGTCTCTCCAACTTCAATGCTCCATTCGCCTTTCTTGATTCTTTCATTTCCAAACATTCGTCCATTTTTGGATGCAACAAAAAAAACGAAGAGACTGGTAGAGAGGAGGGAAATCGAATTGAGGAGGAGAAGGAATTGAGAAGTTTTTTCTGCATGGAGGTATTTGAAGTGGTACCGAGAGAAAGATCGATTCTGAATTCTTGAAGAGCATCCCCTTCTTGACCTTGTTTAATTTTTTGGTGTTTTTGAAGACTTTCCAGGCTTCTAAACCTTTCAAATCATTCAAATAAGCTTCTGAAATATTCTGTGGATCTGACAAGAGCAACTGAATTTCTCTTCTCTTTTCTTACTGTATTCATAATAATTTACCTAATCATAAAATTTTGGACTCTATTTCACTTGTTTCAGATCCCATTAAATTGTTATACGTCTCTGAATTATCCTATTATTGAGCTCATGTCTTCTGGCTTAAGCCCCGCCCCCATATTTTCAATGCTCGTAAAAAAAGGGGCGGTCCCTAATTCTCCTTGATCGTTTTTTTTCTTAGAACCGCTATTCCAAATCCATTCCACTCCTGAAAAACTTCTGGATTATAAGATCAGGGAGTTCTCGATTTTTTCGGATGAGAGATTTAACTAATCCCTTTTTCTAGAATTAGAAAAATATCTGAAAATACAAAGTGGACGAATTGATCAGTTGAAATTATTAATTCTGCTGTAGGGTAATCTGTGTGTAGCCTACTGTAATCTTTCCAATTTTTTCACTGTCAGAATTTTCTGTTTACCGACCTGGTTGCAGCGAAAAATCGAGAAAATATATGCGGGAAATAAAAACATTTTCAGGTTACGGTAGTTGTCGTTGTGGGACCTTCGGTCACGGCCACCGGCGTTTCTCACCAGTTGATCCTCTAAGATTTTCATGGTCATTTGAAATGCAGCGGATATTTTTGCAAAAACAATACAAGGCCACCTAGTTAACAAAACCTAAATCTTTACCGCTGCATCGTTTATTATTCTTTATGTTCTTCTTTTTCTTCTTCTTCTTTTTATTTATTTTCTCTAAAGTAATCTAACAAATCCGTTTTTATGTTAATGATTCCTTCTGCCTTTTCCTTTCTTCTTTTACCGCCGCCTATGGAGAAAATGCAACATTTTCAAATTGTCTGCCTGTTGTCTTCTAATTGAAATTCCTCCCAGCCTCCACCCTAGGTGTTGTCGGGTGGCCCATAAATCGTCGATTCCATCCTTTCGGGTTGCCTTCAGATTGCCTCCAGCCGAGGTCCGATACATGAAGAAACAACAGAAAAGACCCGTCTGAAGGCACTATAAATCTCGGTCCGAAACGACCCCAGAACTTCTTCTTTTTCGCTTTTTGCCTCTCCCACTTTTCTCTCTTCTTTTTTTTAAATTGAATGTTTGGAAACTTTTTACTGGGACCGCCCATTTGATTTTTCCTGAGGAAAGTCAAAGGAAGGGTTTGCAAGTTTTTGTCCGGTATCATACTATCAGTTATGAGTTTCTCCGTTTACTGATAGTCCATTTCTTTTAAGAAGATTTACCGTAAGCACTCTAATAGAAGGCCATCCTATACTTTGATTTTGAGAGCTTTCCTGTAACAGATATTAAGAGGTGGTCAACTGACAGAATATTTTTGATATTATGATAAACATTTTATCAGTTGATCACTTTATGTTATCACTTACATGCGCCGAGACGAATCAGCTCAAAGTATAAGCATTGGGGGGCCTTCTATTAGAGTTTTTACGGTATCTTGGTCGTTTTCATTATCAAGGGTTTCATTATAATAAAAAAGTCATAAGCTTCTCTAAAACAGTAGGAAATTAGGATTCTTCTGTAACTTTTTCAGAACTGAATACAGTAATAAAGCTCCCAGAATTAAACTCCTCACATAAAGTCAAAAACATCTCGAATCGAACAACTTTTCTATTTTTATCTGCATTGGACACCTGTCAAACGGTTATAGATGTTTCTAGATTTTAGACAGTCATACTGTTTTTAAGAAATCGTCAGATAAATATCGTAAACCTGTAATAGACGGGCCCCACATTGTCAACTTTGAGCTTAATTATCTCGATTCCTGTGCAAGATATCGAAAATATGTCGACTTATGAAATATTTGTGATATTATGATGAACAATTTATCCGTTGACAACTTTTTTGTATCTTTAACGAGACAAGCTGGTTCAAAGTTAAAAGATAAAGGGCTCATTCTATTATAGGTTTTACAAGATCTGGGGCTGAAATTGTAAAATACAGACTTCCTTGAAACCCCCAAAATGACGATTCTGATTTATCTCGTTACTTCTGACCTCATCAAAGTAAACACTGTGGTTTTTGGTATTTTTAGTTGTAAGTTGACTAAAAAATGAAATGACACCATTAATTTTGATTTTCAGAATCACTTGTATTCCTTGACTGATCATATCATAATGTACATATCCTTTGAATGCCCTTTTCTTGCATTTTTCCACTATATAAACTCAATTTCCTTTTTTCTGTCTACCATATTTTTCGTCCGTTTTCCAATTTCCGTTCAGTTATTCATCAAAAATGTCAAATATACTCATCCGACCCGTTTTCATTTAATTTCTTGTCACTTGGTTGAATATGAATTCAATTCCACTTCTTTCCTCCCATTTTTTCATTCCAATTGCTCCATGTTTCTGGGGGTTTCTGTTTCAAAAAAAACGTCATAGAGCTCTAGAGCTGACTCCTTTTCTCTCTCTCTCTCTCTCTCTCTCTCTCTCTCTCTCTCTCTCTCTCTCTCTCTCTCTCTCTCATTTTTTNTAATTCGCAACACAGCAGGAAACCAAACGATTAAAAATGGAAGAGAAGCATGTTCGAGTTTTTTTTATGATGTAGCATTTTGGGCTACAGTACTCGTGCGGATCCCTGTTTAGAATTTCAGACCTAAAAAACTTTGATTTCTATTTGCATGAGCAATTAAAATTCATAATGAGGATCCACAGTAATCTTCCTTGTACTTCCGGTTCCATTCCTCTTCTTCTTCTTCTGCCCACATCCTCATTTTCAGCCGCCATTCCTTCTATGCCTTCTCGGTTTTTTTCTTTTCCATTCCAGCCAAAAGAGCCAGCACAACCCCTGAGGCCAGTCCTGGACAAGCCTCTCTCCGAGCAGATGTTTCTTTTTTCTTTTTCATCTCATGAGATCTTGTACTCTTCCTTGTACCGATAGAGTAAACGAAAGATGCGAAACGTTAGACAACTTTACAAAAAAGAACACTTGGCCTTCTGAAGTCGGCGCGGTGGCCGAAGGGCTCGCCGTGTCTCTTCGCCAACGTCTTCTTCCTTTTTTTCCTTCCTTTTTTGCTTCTTCTTCTGGACCATGCTTTTTTGAAAAGAGCTCTCACATCGATAGACATGCAGGGGCATTAGTTAAGAATTCCTTCTTCTGCTTCATTTTCTCTTTTTTTCGGGTTCTGTTCTCTTTTTTCTCGCTTAGAATGGTTAGAAACACTCGAGAAACACTTGAAAAGGTTTTCTTATTAGGTTACTGTAGGTTTTGAATTCTGGAAATTTTTAAATATTTTTTCAAAAAGGCTCAACTGATAAAATGTTTGTGATATTATGAGAAACAATTTATCAGTTGACAATATTTTGATATCTTGCACAGGAACCGCGATAATTGAGCTCAAACTTGACAGTATGGGGGCTCTTCTATTACAGGTTTCACGTTACATATATTGCTGTTTGATAATTAAGATACCCTTCAAAAAATCATTTTTCCTCTCTTTTCTAGAAGCTTTGACCCAGAGCCACCCAGTCGTTCCTCTCTTTTGAAATTCTACACTTTTTCGGCCCCCCTCTCTGCTAAAAATTCGAGAATCGCGGGCACGTCATCAAACATTCGAAGCTCTAACTTTTCTGTTTACATTATTTTTCTCCTCTCTTCGTTTTCTTTATCTTCCATTAATTACCCCTTCCTTTTTCTTCATCCGACGTCTTCTAACGCCTAGAAGACGAGGAGCTCTACCGTAATCCTTTCATTTCCTCTCCTTGAATGTCTCCTTTTTTGGCGCCGAGTCTCTCCATCTTCTCAAATGAATTCTTGCTGGGAAATTCTGAGTTTCGCCAAAAAGCTAATTAGACTAAAACGATAAGAGAAGAGGCTTTGAATCAAAGTTTGGCGGCGGGAGTGGGCGGAGCCCAGGAGCACAACCCTGCGAAAAAAGACTCATGTTTCCAATTAGGGTTATTGACGTAGGTACATGAACATGAGAGATGCTAGATATCAGATTTTTTTCAAGTGGCGGTCTAGATTACGGTAATTAGAAAATACTAAAAAACTTGTTATGAAAGGGGTTTTACGGTAATTGGTAGAATGCAAGATTTCGAAAACAAATTATAACAATATATATGTTATTTTCAACGCCTATTACTCAACACAGATCGCCTTATTTTTGATTGTTTACAGATATAAATTTCTGGAAAAAATATCTAGTTTCTCTGAGCATTACCGTAATGCTACGAATGTATAGACTAGACTCCTAAGGGTCCTAAGATCCTGATACAAAACATATATACAATACTGATAGTGTCTACGTAGTCATCAGAAAAACGAAAACACCTGATTCCTGTAATTGACTCTTTGGCTCTTTTCTCTCCGTTCCACAATTCCACATGTGTTCTTTATCGTTCTCTTTTTTCTTTGAATCCGTGCTCCAACCGAAACGCATGTTTTACCCTCAACCACCACCACCACACGTTTCAACAATTCTGGATCATGTTGCTCTTTCTTCTCTCCCTTCCCACCAAACGGGACTACAACGGGCGGTCGGAGGTCCTCCTGCTCGATTTCTCGCCCTCCGACGACTCGCCTCTGCAGATCTCTTTCTCCTCCTCTTCTTCTTTTTTTCTTCTTCTTCATCTCCTCCTTCGTGTTCTTTTCCTCTTTTTTCTCGTTGGCGCCCGTTGGCTCTTGGCTCCTTCGGGCCCGGCGACGGGAGCGACGACGACGACGACGAAAACGGGACGTCGCAGGATAAGAAGAAGAAGAAGAAGGGGATGGCTGTCTCTCTTTTTTTTTCTAGTGCATGGGGGTTGGATAGAGAAAGAGAAAGGTTTCGGAGCAGGAGCTACACCTCTCTCTCTCTCTCTCTCTCTCTCTCTCTCTCTCTCTCTCTCTCTCTCTCTCTCTTTTCATTTTATAAGAGGACGCCGTCCTTTTTTTTGTCCTCCCTTTTTTCCTTTCTTTTTTTCTCGATGCGTTTTTTAATCGAAAACTTTAAACAGATCTTTGTGCATTGAACTATTTATTATGTTTCAAAGTAGATACTCTTTTTGGTACTACCGTGATCCAAGTTTTGGAAATTATAGTTCCAAGAACAGAATGCTAGTTGTCTTCTTATACAAGATCTTATCAAAATATATCGTACTTCCTGTAATGGAAGCCCACCCGAACCATCAACTTTGAGCTCAATTATCTCGATAATTGAAGAAAGTATATCCGACCTGTATTAGAAGAGCCCCTCTAATTGAGGGATTTTGGGTCGGCACCTACTAGAGGAAATACAGTAGTATCTAAGAATTATAAAATTAAGGTGGTTAGCATGTCCACAAAACTGAAATCTAGCCATACATCTTTTTAATCTGAAGTTTAGCCTTAATATCCATAGCGGATTGCAGTTGGAAAGTTCCAGGCCTATGCTTGGACGATAACATTTACCGTAGCGTTGGTCCAGACGCGAAAGCTTAAAGTTAAGCTCAAATATAATCAACAGAATACAATACAGAATACAAGAATCGTACTTTTTCATTTTCTTCGGAATATTGTCTATTCAAAATAATCGCGCGAGTGAACGAGTAAAAATGTCTGCGTCTCTCCAGCGCCTCTACAGGTTTGGAGACTCTCTACACGTTTTATTACTCGTTCACCCGCGCGATTATTTTGAATAGACAATACATGAATCGACCTCATTACTTACAACTCTCATCATTTGTGCTTCTTCTACATATCTCATGACATATATCTTGTACAACTATACAAACACCTTGTGAGTTGTGAATAGAAATAGAATCAACTAAACGTTTCTCGTTATTTTTTTCATCTATCCAATCACTTTTTTTTTCTTCGAAAGTATTCGGGTTAGCCGGAGAGCCACTGAGATGTATAAAATGTTTAATGAAACTTTTGGTTGCCGCACTACCTGGCGCCACCAGTGTCAAGTCGAGAAATGAGAAGCCGAGTTTTTTATGACTTCTGATTGATTCAGAAAAGAGATTGAGCAGTTGTCAGAGCATTGGTTTTTCGAGTTCTAGGGAGAAAAAAAAGTTCGGGTGCCGAGAAAGAGTGGCGGTGATTCACGAATTATGCCGGTGGTGAATTAGATGAGATAACTGCTGATGCGCTGATCGAGGAGTTTTAATGAAAATTGCACGAGATGATATAATACACCTTAGGGGTACAATAGATCAGCGATTCTAGAAGCTTCCATGGATCTTGATATTACTCTTGTCTAACTAACCTAAGCTCCGCCCACCCTCGAATTTTCGGCGTCATTGAAATTAGCCAAGATTAATATCTGAAAAAAATGGATCCGGTCTAATTCCTTGTTTTTACCTGGTTACTAAATCCCTGATCATAAAATTTTGTATTTCTTATTCTTATTCTCAGTACCACCGTGTTTTCCCTTGACAATACATTCTCGATGTGTTTTGTTCCATATATGACTCCGTGTTGCCAATTCTCTTCATCTTCTCAACCGTTCTGTAACAAGAAGAAAAAAACCATCCGGCCCAAAAAAATTAGCATAATCTTTCGTTTCTTTCTATCGTGTTTCGTGTTTCTCAGTGTCACTTGCTTCTCTCAACCTCTTTTTCTCTTTCTTCATTTTTCCATCTTTACCAGGAATAGTGCAACTCCATAAAACTTACAAAAGATCGTCTTGACAAGAAGAGACGGAGACAAGAATCTCTGTCTCTCTTTCAGAAGAAAACGAACTGATGCGGCGCGGAGGGCAACGTTTTCTGCGTCGGAACCCATAAAATGTGCGCCTCCGTCGGTTTATGGGAGGGGGGGGGGCGGTATTTCGAAGTGTGTTCTCAGTGTGAAAATGCTATTGGAAAAAAAGAGAGCATGAGGGGACTAGAGAGATTCGAGGGCTCAATGTTGCAAGAACGCATTTTTTTTTGCCCGGACGGCTCTTTCTGTGCTCCAACATCATTTTGGGGAGAGCCAATTTTTTTAAGCTGGTGGGGCTTTACTTTCCTTTTTTGCGAAATAATCCCTTTCCTGTCACTAGGATTTTCATCGACAAAAATCAAAGATTTTCATAAAATTTTAAACTACAGTACCTTCAAAGGCGCATTTCATTTTTGCTGCAAAAGCTCACTATCAGGCACGATCAAGTGTTACTGTAATTAATTTGGTAAAAAATGCTGTTTTCAGCTTTTTTTTTCTCTGAAAATTCATGTACATTTTTTTTTTGCAGTTGGATTTGTGCGAAACTTTTTTTTTGAATTTTCACATTTTCGAAAATATTGTCGAATTAAAAAAAGTGGGACCTGGAAAATTTCGCGGGCGGCTTCCCGGTCAATTTTCGAGGCCTTGCCTTAAAATCACTACAGTAATAAACGAAACTTATTTCTGTGAATTCAATGGGATTTTTTGGACAAAATTTAGATTTCTTGGTATGAAAATGATCGCTAGCATCTCTAGAATCTGTTTTTCATCGAAAAACCGAACTTAATTGCGAAAGCAGCTCGAACGAGCTAAAAGTCTGAAATATTACGTTTTTGCCGCACTTTTTCGTAGATCAAAAAAAGCGACGCCTTTCAAATTCTCAGGTCCCACTTTTTTAAATTCGACAATATCTTTCAAAAATAAATTGGATCCTACAGTATCTTTAAAGGCGCATTTCATTTTTGCTGCAGAGGTCCCGGCACGCTTGACTACTACTGTACGCAACACGATTTCTAAAAGTGTAGTTTTTAAATAGCTCTTTTTCATCGAAAATTCATGCAAGTTTCTACTTTTAACAGTCGAAATTGTGCGAAATTTGATTTTTAGTTTTAAAATTCTATTTTTTTGTTAACTGCACAACTCGAAAAATAGCTTCCTAACGTCTGTTTACTAATTTTTGCATTCTTTCATTTTTCTGAGATTTTCCTGATTTCTTTTCTTTCTCGATATTTAGTATTCATCGCAATGATTGTAAAATCGCGCGTTGGTCAGCTTTTGTTATTCTAATAGGTCGTAGTTATCCCACAAGGAGGTATTAGGGAAGCCTCGATCCGATATGAATCCTACTGAAAAAAACGATATCCCTGTCGATTTTCCATAATCTCTTCATGACGAACTAATCTACGTTTCTGCACTCACAGATCAAAAATTCGAAATTTCGATTCCGTTTGTTAGTTTTATCAAGTAGCGGTCACCTTAATTTCACCGATTTCTCTTTTTTCTATCGTTCGAAGTTCTCATTCTTCTTCTTTTTTTCTCAAATTATTGGGTTGCTGGTATGGAAACACTCATTCGCCCAAAAAAATTAGATGATTTTGATGGATGATAAGGTGTATTACACTTTCACTTCTCTCCCATTTTTTTGAACCAAACTGTTTGCCTCTCCTTCTTCGTGCGGCTATTTTATTCTTTTTTGGGAAGAAAAAAAATGGGTTAAAACGAAGGGGACGATGGAGAAGAAGAAGAAGCAGTGAAGGAACATTAACGTTTTTTGGGATCAGAGGAGACGCAGGAAATGAAGGTTTTCCAGTGTTGTGTAATGGATGATGTTGCCAGTGAATCCACACACGAAGAAGTCAACATCGTTACCTCCTAGGCAGTTTTAAAGACTAGATTTATCTAGAAAATGGCGCCGAAAAGAGTGACCACAATCATTTTTGATAGGTGTATTCGTTTCACAAAAAACGTCGAACACAATTCCGTGCTTTTTTTTCTTCGCCCCTATAATTTCTCCCTGTCTAAAAAGTAAAACGACTGGCTGTCATCATTGATAAGACTGCATCTCCGGAGCTCTCGTTTTTGATTTGATTAGCTCTGTTTCGACCGTTTTGTCTTCTTCCCCATCACCCAACCATTTCGCCGCCATCGTGATCATGCCCGACGATCGAAAAAATGCGAATGTTGCGTTCTCGCATTGTAGGCATCGAAACGGCGAAACCAAAAAAAAGTGGTGATAAGTAATACATAGAGTGATATGGCTGAAGTTTACTGTGATCGAGAAAATTGGAAAGTGATATAATTCAATATGTGGGCGTTTTGGACAGTAGTTCAGATCTGCGCAAAATTGGGAACCGAAAAGGCGAAGTATTTATTTAAATTTTTAGAAAACATCAGGGATGCTCTGAATGGCGGCCTTTTTCGGAATTTCGAAAATTCCAATTTTCAACATTTCGGAATTTTGGAATATTCCGATTTTCATAAGTTCGAAATTTCGGTATATTCCGATTTTGAATATTTTGGAATTTCGGATTTTTTTAATATTCACTATTTGTTTGAAGTAGAAACCTCAATTTCCCAGCCCAAACCCGCCGAAAATTGGTGAAAGTTAGCAAAAATTTTCCGAAAATGCGAAAAAAAGATTCCGCTCGAAACCCGCAAGCAAACTTTTCGCGTGCGCTTTTGGCATACTGTAGTCGGAAAATTTTCCGAAAAAACGTTGAAATTGTCCGATCAGAATTCCGTTCCAAGCATCCCTAGAAACCATGAAGACAATTACATGAAGCAAACACTATAATTCAAGGAAATTCAAATTAGATTATACTACCGTAATCCTAACACCTATGCTGTGAGAAACCGATCTTCTGTATATGTTTCTTGCTCATCATCGCCAGGTCGCGACCCAAATTGATCAAATTTCACATTCTCGTAGATTCCAATCATTTTTGATTTAGGGGTTTTCAACCGTTCCGTCTCTCTCTCTCTCTCTCTCTATTCTCATTATATTTCACATCACCTTATCAAGTGTATCATCCAACTTTTTTATTCAAACTGATTCCATCTCAGTCTTCTGTGTTCTTTCCATCATCACGACTTTCACTGGTTTCGTTCTTTTTTTTTTCACTAATTTCCGTTCAACCCATTCGAAAAACGAGAGGGGGGGCTACAGTACCATTTCTCTCTAGTTTTCAATATTTTACATGCGGCGGCGGGCGCTGGTGGTTTGAGAATAGATTTTATCAGTTTTATCAGTATACCAAAAAAAAACCCCTGTGTCTCTTTGTCTTATACACTATTTTGTCGAGGAATAAGGGTTAGCAGAGAGGGTTAGAGAGAAGGAGTTCTTCCATTGTTATCAGTTTCTTCAAGAGCGCAAATTTTCTTAAAACTCCTTTTTCTTCGTTTCCTTTCTCTGGAATCTGACAAACAGTTTATGTCGATTTATGTCGTCTCTCTTTACAAACAATTATCTTTCAGAGAATGTGCCAGCGAGCTCTTCACGTTATCTTCTGAATACTGAAAGTCGTTCGGAGCAATCGAAGCAGCAGCAGCACCACCAACCAATCAGTTATTTGTCTCAAAGCGGAGGAGTCGACGACAGCGGTGTGCCGATTCCACCGAATAATAATATCAATATTCCTGTCAAGCTAGGAAACTTCGGCATGATGGCCCCAAGTACTGAGGTAAGCCAGATGAGCTATCCTTTTAGGTTCATTAACCTCCCGCAAGTGTTTTCCAGGATCCCGAAACTGTTGTCGAGGCTCAACGCCGTGGAAGTTTCTCGAAGAAGAATGGTAACGGATGGACAAAGCCTGGGCTGGCTAATGGTTCCGAGGTAATACAATGCTATAGAATGATACAAAAAGCGTCTATATTCTGATGAATCATAACTATAAATCGTTACCATGAGAATTTCTCACGTAGACCAGTCAGAAGACGTTTTTCGGTTTATTGGTAATATCACCCCATTGGGGACATATATTCTCATTTGTGAGCCTACGTGTCTAGAGTCTAGACTCTAGACCGCCCATTTTTTTCCACCGCCGCTTATGATCATCGAACACTGCCATTTTTTCCGATGCCACGTATCCTTCTCCGAGGTTTCCTGATAAGGAGTTCTGAAAAAAAGATTAGAATTGCATAGTCGAACCTAGCAGGGCTCTCGTTTTTTTTTCATTTTGTTGTCTTTCTACCCCGTCGGAGCTTGTTTATCAGTTTGGTGTCAACTTTCCAAAATTCATAATCTCCAGTTTTATCTGAAATTCCATACGCTCTGAAAGTTCTCTTGCACTTTTTCTATGCCACTGGTACCGCCGAGCACGAATGGTCGCCGCGTCAAGCTGTGAGAAAAAATGAGTGTGTGACGGTGGTCAGGCATCTGAAAAAATCGGCTTCGCGTCACTTTTTTTTCAAATATGCTTTTTCTGATAGAACACATTCACAAAATCGAAAAAGTCGAGAATTTTTCTGCTTTTGAGAACATCAAATTTTGAATTTTTTCGATTTTCAGATTGTGCTGTATCAGAAAACGCATATTTGAAAACCCTAACATTGTTCTGGCAAATACTCAGTTGCTACCAGATCAATTGCTTTTTGACCAGTTGCTACTTTTGTCTCAGTTGCTATATTCCCAGTTGCTATGACTCAGTTGCTACTTTTGACTCAATTGCTCGCATTTTCCTAAATTTCAAAATCTCAGTTGCTATGAAAAATCTCAGTTGCTACAACATGACTCAGTTGCTACTTTTGTCTCAATTGCTATAGAAAAAGAAAGACGAATAGAGGTGTGCAGGTGTTAAAATTTACTAGCAAGGGAAAAAAAGAAGACCTGGTGAAATATCATTCATAAGTGGTTATTTAATTATTTCCACACAAATTGTGTTTTGATTCAGATTCAACAAAAACAACAAAAAAGGTTGAATCAACAAGGTTAAGAAGAAGAGATTGGCTAATAAAAAAAGCAACAGGCAAGAAAAAAATATGACAGAACTGGTGGGGAAGTGAAGGAAATTGAAGGAATAGGCTAAAAAATTGTAGAATATCCAGAAGATGCATCCATGATATCGTCGTCTCGCTTAGAAAGAGTATACTTACGGTGAGGCTTTCTGAATAACGCGTGTTTATAATCAGGGCTAATCTCTTAAAATTACATTAACTTCTTAAACGTACACAATAGAGAACTGTAAAATAATCTTCACAAATTCCACAAACTCAGGATTTTAATGTTTAATTTAGGTTTTAAACCCCAGTCCATACTTCCCTCACTACCAATTTTTCTTAATTGTTTTTTCTCAATTCTATTTCATTTCCTTTTGCTTTCAATATTCCTTCGTTTTTGCCCAATTTTCCGTTTTTTCCGAATTTTTCAATTTTTCAATTTTCCTCAAGTTTCGTGGTAATTGAAATGTTCTCATTTTTTCATAATTTTCTAAATTATTGAATGAAGGAAACAATCACAATTCAGTGATTTTCCCACAAAAATTCAAAAATCCCAAAAATTGGCCCAAAATGAGCTATTTTCTTTCGAAAATTGTTCGAACTGGGCAATAAAACACTACAAAAATTATTAAATTAAGTTTTTTCGATTAATTACCACGAAAATTTGAGCAAAAACTATGAAAAACGAAGGAAAACGGAGAAAAATCCCAAAATAAAATTTCCCAGTGATGACGTCATCAGTCCATGGCCGTGGCCGAGCTGCGGGGTTTTCTCTTCCATGGGAAATTTCGTAAAATTCACAGCTTTTCGCAAATCCCATTTTTCTCTATTTTCCTTCGTTTTTCATAGTTTTTGCTCAAATTTTCGTGGTAATTAATCGAAAAAACTTAATTTAATAATTTTTGTAGTGTTTTATTGCCCAGTTCGAACAATTTTCGAAAGAAAATAGCTCATTTTGGGCCAATTTTTGGGATTTTTGAATTTTTGTGGGAAAATCACTGAATTGTGATTGTTTCCTTCATTCAATAATTTAGAAAATTATGAAAAAATGAGAACATTTCAATTACCACGAAACTTGAGAAAAATTGAAAAATTCGGAAAAAACGGAAAATTGGGCAAAAACGAAGGAATATTGAAAGCAAAAGGAAATGAAATAGAATTGAGTTTGTGGAATTTGTGAAGATTATTTTACAGTTCTCTATTGTGTACGTTTAAGAAATTAATGTAATTTTAAGAGATTAGCCCTGATTATAAACACGCGTTATTCAGAAAGCCTCACCGTAAGTATACTCTTTCTAAGCGAGACGACGATATCATGGATGCATCTTCTGGATATTCTACAATTTTTTAGCCTATTCCTTCAATTTCCTTCACTTCCCCACCAGTTCTGTCATATTTTTTTCTTGCCTGTTGCTTTTTTTATTAGCCAATCTCTTCTTCTTAACCTTGTTGATTCAACCTTTTTTGTTGTTTTTGTTGAATCTGAATCAAAACACAATTTGTGTGGAAATAATTAAATAACCACTTATGAATGATATTTCACCAGGTCTTCTTTTTTTCCCTTGCTAGTAAATTTTAACACCTGCACACCTCTATTCGTCTTTCTTTTTCTATAGCAACTGAGTCATGTTGTAGCAACTGAGATTTTTCATAGCAACTGAGATTTTGAAATTTGGGAAAATGCGAGCAATTGAGTCAAAAGTAGCAACTGAGTCATAGCAACTGGGAATATAGCAACTGAGACAAAAGTAGCAACTGGTCAAAAAGCAATTGATCTGGTAGCAACTGAGTATTTGCCCATTGTTCTTGTAGTCGGAAATTTATCCATTCGCCTGCATTACCACGGTTTCGAAATGACTGGTTCCGATGTGACGCGGAGCCGAAAAATCAAGAAGCCCAAAGTATTTGGGCTTCTTCAATTTGAAGACTTCTCCTTCCTATTGATTTGTTAGAATATCGTTTGAAGCAAATCAATTCCAAAAATCGAAATTTCAGTCAAAACACATGGAGCCAGTCACTGGAACAAATGCCCTAATGGCTGCAATTGATGCAGATGATCAGGAAACCAAATTGAAAGGCGAGTTCAAAAACCTCGCTTCTTGAAAATTACCGTAATCCTTCAGATCCGCTGGAGAAGGAAGCATCGACGTATAAATCGGCCACCGACAGGTTCTTCCAATCATCGCACCCTCCGTCTCATCAAACTGTTGAAAATCCAATCAAATTGGAACCACCGACGTCATCTGGAGGTTAGTTTTGGACACCGGGGGCATAAATAGAGCTCACGAGACATGACATCTACAATTTTAAGGGGGTTTTTTCTGATTTTTTCAAGACAGAGGGAAAATTACACGCAGCCTTTGGAGGGTTTAGAAATTGTAATGGTGTCAGAACACCTTATATAAAAGTGCTTTCAGATGCCCGAGAGCTCATTTTTGTTGGATTTGCTGAGCAGATTCTGCTCTGCCCTTGGAGGCAATCAATGATATTTTATTGAAATCCCTATCAAAACTTTAGCTCTCTATTATCACCAAATTACGTGTGTTTTATCGGTCTGATCCCAGAGAGAAACAGCAGCCGCCCACTATCGATGTGAAGAAGGTTCCTCTTTTTTTGCTAGTTCGTGGTGACGGATGATGGCCCCATTTGCCTCCCTAAACTTCGTTTAACTGATCTCTATCTTCTTTTTTTTGCTTGAGTGGGGTCTGAGATGTTGGGATATCACAGGGGGCGAGAAATGAGAAATGTTCGTACTTTTGCTCCTCGACTCCCAAAGTCTTCGGCTGATTGATTAGACCGAGAATTACGGCTCATCAGTGTTTAGATTTAGTTCACAAAGAATCTTCCTTATCTTTTTTGTGAGGTTTCTCTATGAGTTTTCAAGCTGTACGTCCAATGATTGGTTGGGTGAGTACTGTAGGTAGGTAGGTATCAGCATCTATTCGGCTACAGTGAATTGCAACTTTAGAAGATAAGACTGATGTTGGCAACTTTTTTTTGACTTTCCAGGGCTTATTTGATGACGATGTTAGGACGCTGGGAGGTTTTAAAACGGTATGCAGGATGGTGTAACATGTCTAGCCTTCGGCAGGTTTCTAGGAACACTGTGTGACAAGAACCCTTGCATATATGGAGAGGCTGTTTGTGTTCCCTTGGTGATATGGGTGGTATACACAATGTGGGTGGTCAGACAGAGCCGGCCGTGTTCATAATTTGCCTCTAATTTCCGTTCTTGATGACGTGTCTAGATACTGGTCTTCCTCTTCTTTTCTCGAGAGTTTTTTTTTGTTTCAGTTTCTTCTCATCACCTAAACTTAACAGTTTCCGTGACAAAACCAGTTTCTCTTTTTTTTATCCTGACGACAGACGAATAAGGGCGGCATCAGAAGTACAGTAACCAGTCAATCATCGAATCTTCTTCATTTGATTATGTTTTCTCGACCAGGAACCCATCGTCTAGAAAGATACTTATCTCTATCAAACTTTTTTTTTGGTTGCCATCCCGATGAGAGAAAGTGAAAGGGGGCGTCTTCTCTCCTTCTTTTGGCCTTTTTTTGGTTTTTTCCTCGATGGAGGCATACGGTATTTCCCCTTTCGTCGCCGCCGTTGTTGAGTAATGCATCAGACACTGTGATGATTACACAATAACTGAAAAAAACGATGGAAGAAGAGGAGAAGACGATGGATGACGGCGAATAGTGCGTTCTGCTGAAGAGGAGCAGTGTGACGAAAGGGGCCACCCGGCTTATCAATTTGTGAAACCCCTCTCACTCTCTATTCTTTTCCACTCGTCTTAAACCCCCAAATGAAAAGAAGGTAGTCTTTACTGATAACCCCTCGATGATTGGCACTTTACACGACATTTTTATTTTGTGTGCGGTGGCGACTGAACGACATGGACAAGACGATACCCGAAGAATTGAATGGCATGCTTGCTGCGTGGTGTTTTACAGCACAAGGTGAGAGAAATCATGGTGGGCTTCTTGGTGGGCTACAGTAATCCTTGGATGTGTCAACACTATAAAGATGTTTGGTCATCTATTGGGTCTACAGTAATCCTTTGTTTGGATATGGATGTAAAACTACAGTGACAGATTCATATCAGCAAGATTTTTGGTTCTAGAAACTGATTTCATGACTAGGGAAAATAAAGGTCTACTGGTTTCTATCGCCTCGCGCTTCTTGAAAAAATTGAAAGTTTTTCGAGTTGCACTTTTATATGTTGAATGCATTAATGATACACACTTTGCGGAATCTCACGTCAGAGCGCTTTTTCGTGCATCCAACCGGTTGGTACAAATAATTGTAGTGGTCAAATAGAGGAATGCACTTTTAATCAGAATCTCTAAAGTCTCCTCGAAATTTGAATTCTTGAGCTTTGAATCCCAGACACTCTCGGGGTAGTGGGCGGAGCCAACAGGAACTGATCTCGCTTGGCGGTCTTAATTGGGCAGTCGACCGTGTTATCAGTTATCTGTTGCGTGACGCCGTGCCACCACTGAAAACTATTACTTCTTCGTTTTCAAACATTAAAGTACCGTACCCCTTTTTGTTCCCGCCTATCACCTCTCTTGTTTTATTGCACAGAGGCTTATCACTAATGATGAATGGGTTACGGTAGAGAGAAAAATTAGAATATGAGAAGAAGCGGATGAGTCGTACTGGAAATTAGAAACGCAAGAAGAAAAAACTCGGTTTCTCCTTCTTCTCGGGGGAATGCTAATTAGAGTGCAAGAACGCGAAAGGCCGCTCGCTCTGATGAGCACATACATCAGAAGGAAAAGAAGACAGCACTTTCAGAGAAAGAAACGAGTTTTAAGCCCTTTTTGCATACTTTCATCGATTAGTTCCGGGCTGTTTTGAAATTCCGTTTGCCCACCTAGATATTTCAAAAATAATTCAAGTAAATCACTCGAAAAGGATATACCGTAATCCTCTGCCCACCCGAAGCGTAAGCCATGAGCCAATTTTTCTTGATTCCTATCAAAGATATAGGAGAGCTTCCAACTGATGAATTGCTTTTCATAATATCAGAAACATTTTATCAGTTGATAATTTTTTATATCTTTCACAGAAATTGAGATAAATGAGCTTAAAGCTGTTCGGATGGGCTTCTATTACGGGACTTCCGCTTCCACATAGACCAATAGATCTGTTTACAGATGGTTTTATTCATCATTTTTCCCAAAATGCCAGAAAAAGAATACTCGATTGTCAGATAGATAAATTAAGAGAAACAGGTGTCCTGATGGCCACCGTGTAGAATTTTCCCAATTTTTATCTCCCGTTCGCTTTCTCCTCTTTCGCTTTTTTGAATCGCCATATGTCATCTTTCAAGGTGATCACAGGCGGACATGTTTCTCCTCCCGTATTTCTTCCTCCCGCTTCGAAAAATAACTGCTAACGAACTGAACTGCTCGGGAGCCCCGATTTCGGCACACACATACACACTTTGGCACACTCGTTCTTTCATATTTTCTCTCCTTTTTTTCTCCTTTTGCGGCCACAACGACGACACTCAATTCTGGAGACCGCCCTGTTTGTAGAGAGGAAAGAAGAAGGGCATGTCCACCCACTTGTTTGGATGGTTTTTTCTCTATTTTTCCCGTCCTCGACGTTGACTTCCAGAAAAATAAATGTATCATGAGAATCTCGAGATTGGCTGTAATTGGTGTGGTAGGCTGCCATTCTCATATTCTATGTGATCTACTTTCTTCTTCTCAAGCCTATTCTTCACTCTCTGTTAGAACGCACCACACTGAAATTAATCAGCACTGCTGCTGTTTCGAACACTTTTCAGATGGCAGAAAATGTGTTAGAAACTCGCTAGGTTTTCAGCTGTTCTTCTCGGTAGGCGTGTCTTTGAGAAACTGTTATTTCGCAGTGAGGGAGACCCTATAATTTTTTGTTCTCACCTCTGTTCTCAACAGCAGTATCATATCGAATTAGGTTCGCATGTATTACTTGTTTGTGCTCTACCCTTTCTCGGGTTTTGAACATTTGTGTTATTCAAATTTTGGAATACTGATCTCCCAAGGATTACTGTATCAAGACATTAGAAGTTCTCCCGAAAACAGATTAGTTCTTGTGATCTACAAAGGATTACTGTAGCAAGCTAGAACCCATTGCTAGCGCTACAATCTAACGCCTGTCGAATTAATTAGAACATGAGTTCCCTTCATTACCGTAGTCTCAATTTTTTCTCACATTTCTTCCTCGTACTTCTTGGGCCAAGAAGCTTGTCAAAAACGCACATATAGATGAAAAGCTCGAGTAGAAACTTGAAAGTGCAAAAGCAGCACACACGGCACACACGCACACTTCCGCCGCGACCCTCCTGCTCAGCTCCTCGCGACCGCCCATAATCATCTAGAAGGCGTTGGCGTCGCGGCGATCGTGGCCCTCCTAGCTGAAACGGCGTTGTGACACACGACATATTCTTGCACTCTTCTGTTTCCTAATCATATATTCTATCCGCTCCACTGATCTCTTCTCTCCAAGCATACTCTCCGGGGCTTCTCATCGAGTCTCGGCGCCGCGCCGACCACCACGACGCGACGCCACACACGCAGCGAACGAGAGAGTGTGTGAGACGAAGAGACGCAGAGATCGAAGAGATAGGGGAGCAGCGTCCGGGACCTGCTCTCGGGCGATAGAAAAACTAGAAGAGAGGACGTGTGTTGCTCTCTATCGCCTCCCAATGTTTATATGTCGATGATGATGGCTGGAAAAAGTGCAAGAAGGGAGGAGTTGCAAGTGTCTCGTCAACAACCTATGGGTCGAAAAGACTACTAAATGAGATAAGAGGATCAAGTGTGGTCAAAAACGGGGATGTCAATGAAAGCATATTGATAACAAATGGAAAAGTCGGATAGGAGAGAGATCAGGAGATCCTAAAAAGGATTCTAAAAAATAGGAGTTCAGATCTGACACTACTAATTCTAATCCGGTCCGGAACATACATCACCATGAGGTTCCCATTCTCGCACTTTTAAGTTTATTTCGGAAGTTTCGTCCGTCCTTAATAAGGCTCCACCTCACTTTTCTTCTTCTTCTTCTTCGAGCAAAAAATGTTGCCTCACATCTTCACGACACGAATCCTTACTCATCGGGTTCCAATTATTGCCTTTCCCTCCCCCTTTGCTCCTCTGAAATTGTTCTAATAGAAGCGAGAGGCCCTCTTGATTCGATATCCTCATTTCTCTTCTCAGCGGAGCATCGAGGCTCAAAAACCGCCTGGCCTTCCGAATAAAAAAAGGATTTCGGAATGATGAGGGTAGGGGGAAAGCACGAAAAAAGTGAAACAGAAAAATATTCGTCTTCGTTTTTTTTCTTGAAGAAAACATCTTCTCCTTTCCACTTCTTTATCTTCATCAAAGTTGGAGCTTTTCCGAAAACTGCCGTACAGATCCTATGTCATTGAAGGTGATGGAAGGATTACGGTAGTTGTGTTATTTTCAAAACGTAGATTTTTCATTGTCTCCCGCATCTCTGTTGCATCTGTTTGGATCTCGAGTTACAGCTTCAAAGGAACGCGCGAGATTTCTCCGTCCCCCTGAAACTCAATCATTATTTACGACCACCTCGCAGTCATCCGCGGCTCCGCTCTCCCCTCTAACCCTCCCCTTTTTATTGTATTACTGTACGCATTGCTCATTTGCTCTCTTCTCTTCTCGTCCACCTCGCTTCTAGACAGAATATTCTTCAGATTCTTATGGATGACTTTGACGATCCAAGTGAGGAGATGTCACCCCCTCATCTGGAAAAAATGGAAGATTTGGAGACGCACTTCCCCCTGCCAACAACAACAGAAATCTCTTCTCTATTTCTGACTCCAAACACTTCATTAAATACGAACTCCTCCCCAGAAGGCTCTCCGAACTCTTCTGGTTTTCCATGGGTTTCGTTATCGCCCCCTTCTTCCTCATCGTCATCTGAACCTTTGTTTCTAAACAAACCTATATGGACTCCTACAACGCCGTCCTCTATTTTCACGGCATCAGATGATATTATAGCCAGTCGGCTGGCGCCTTTGTTTATTAACAACACCGCTGCGTTTCCTGATCTTGGAATACTTGTGCAACATGTTTCAGAAACGCTTCGTGAGTGGGAATCTAGTAAAAAAGAGTCGTTGTTCTCGTGAGCTAGAAACGAGTCATCAAGAAAAACAATTCATTTTTATAACCTATTCTATTTAACATAGCATTTTTCAGTGACACAAAATGGTAGTCCTGTCACCAATAGCTTGGTTCCCGAAGCAGCGCAGCCCCTCCAAACAGTGGCTGAATCTTCGGAACCAACTGCAGCAAGTGCAGAACCAACGGATGCTTCATCAGCTGAGTCATCAACTATCACAGTTACTCCAGTCGTTCCAGTGGTAAAGTTCACAAACCAGACTACCCCGAATGGTAGTACGGTAGCCACTTCGGTTGGACAAAATGTGCGACTCACCATCAACGGAAAGCGTGTTGGACGTCCGCCAGGAACCTTCAAGAGACCACCGTAGGTTACTTGAGATCTGAACGCTCACAATCTCTCATTTTCAGAAACAACCCAACCACGAATACCAGTCATGGAGAAGAGACTGATTCGGAAGCATCGACTGATTTGATCTGTCGTTGGAAAGATTGTATGCTGAAGTTCGCAAACCTCAAGGGTCTTGTTGAACACGTCCAAGAGAAACATGTCCAATCTACAGAGCAGGAGCATCATGCCTGGCGCTGTGAGTGGGAGGGATGCGATCGCAATGAGACATTCAAAGCTCTCTACATGCTCATTGTACACGTTCGTCGCCATACTGGAGAGAAACCGAACAAGTGCGAGGTAAGGATTGTTGTATTCTTAACAGGGCTGGGCGAGCAATCGGCTTTTGCCGGAAACAAATTGCAAAACACACGCAATTCGCGAAAAAAGTGGGCGGAGCCAACGCACACACAAAGTATAGTGGCCGGCGGAACCCGGGAGGTGTCGGCCGCTGCGGGGAATGACTACCCGACAGCGCGTAGTTGAAAAATAAATCAAATTTCAAATTCCCGCCATTTTCGTGTCGGACCCTTCGGCGAAATTGCGTGCGCCTTTAATCTCGATTTGTACATCAAACGAGAAAATTTTGCAAAACATGAAGGTTTTTCTCCCGTCCTCGCCCACCCCTGATTCTTAAAGGTGGGGGGGACATGAAAAAAATTATTTTCTCGAAATTCCGTTTACATACGCCCCTCGAGGAGTTGAACTTGTGAGGGCGAGGATTGAGGGTGCGGCGCCGCTACCGACTGAGCTACACGGGCAAAGAGAAAGCGGCCGTCGGATTGCATACATAAAGGCGAGGACGACAGCTGGACGCAGAGTGACATTAAGCGTTGTACACCGTCACAGTAGAATGCATACTCTGGCCCCGAAAATCCCCCGTAAAATCTCCTGTCCCCCCACCTTTAACTTAAATTTAATAAATAATTTTTAGTATCCGGGCTGTGGAAAGGAGTACAGCCGATTGGAGAATCTCAAGACGCATCGTAGAACCCATACTGGCGAGAAACCATACAAATGCGAGTTCTCGGACTGTGAGAAGGCATTCAGCAATGCTTCGGATCGTGCCAAGCATCAGAATCGTACTCACTCGAATCTGGTTAGTTGGATGAATCATATGAATCATAACACAACCATGTGCTTCCTTCTGTTTCTTAATGAGCCCAATGTCTGAATCACGTTTTTCTGTTTGCTCTCCAGTTCCCAATGGGAAATTTCTTTTCTGTCCGAGTATACAAAAAAACTTGATTCAGAATGCATGCCCCCTGACAGTGACCGGCAGGAGAAAACGAACAAGATTTCCATTGCAGAAACCGTATTCATGTCAAATTGGGGGTTGTCAGAAGTCATACACCGACCCATCCTCCCTTCGCAAGCACATCAAAGCAGTTCATGGAGACGAGGAGTACGAGAAGGCAAAGAAGTCACGTCCGCCAAACTACTCGAACCGTCGTCGTCCGGACCATCGTATGCCTCCACCGACCAGCGCAATGTCTCATCCCTATTTGGCACCACCACATGTGTTGCCTCCTGTTGCCGCACCAGGTGTTCATCAGCAAAACTTTGTAAGTTGACCATTTTAAATTTCTAATACCCCTCCGTGTGATGCATGATTCTCTACCCTCTCACACTCACACCTCCTCCTTCTCCTTCACTCATTTTACCTTCTTCGTTTTTTTTAGATCAATCTGGCACTTGCTCAACATCATCATAACCAACGTGCACAATTCATCGCGGTACGAACCTTTCCTATTTTTAATTCATAACATTTACCTTTTAATGAGTTCTCACTCTCTGGGACTGGTCACACACGGATTAGAATATGTGTCGTGAAGCACGATTTGCACAAATTCTACCCTCTTCTACACCTATCATTAGCTTACCTTAGAATCTGCAAACATTCTCTCTTACAGCACATTCGAATAGAATAGTTATTTTCAGAACAACGCTGCTCTGATGGATCCGAATGGATCTGGTGCCGCTCAAGCCGCCGCCGCTGCTCAAGCTGCTCAGGCACAACAAGCACAGATGTACCAGGCACAGGCAATGCAACAACATCAATTCGCCGCCCAGATGCAACAACAGGCTGTGATGCAAGTTCATATGCAACAAGCTGCGCTTCAGCAAGCTCAAGTTGCCATCATCCAAAATAACCTTCTGAGCACTCAAGGAATCATGAATCAGTTCCCAATGATGTCGCCGCTGCTTACTCCAAGAGCACCAGGAAATGTGATGTCACTTCTTCAACAACAACAAGTCACTCCACCGACTCCAACAATGATGCAGTTGACTCCGCATACTCCGATCACACCGATTACTCCAATCACGCCGCTTACACCAATGGGAGCAACGACTGGACCGATGTTCAGTATGCCAAATATCATGATGACTACTCCAGTTCGAATGGACATCCCGACATCCGTTCCTGCAGCTGTCCCAGTGGCCCCGGTGGCTCCAGTTGCCCCGGTGGCTCCAGCTGCTCCAGTTGCTCCTCCAGCTTCTTCTCTTGCCGAAGCTACTGAACCAAGATTCCGGCTCCTTCGCCAACACATGGAAGGCGCTGAGGTTGCTCCAGTTCTAGCTCCACAACAGCCGTTGGAAGAAGACGATGACATGACTGACGATGAAGAGAGTGGGAATGTTGCTCCAGCCGTCATTCGTAACGGAGATGGACCGGATGATCGTAACAGTGGAACAGGATCGAGCTCGCCTCGTTCTAGTGCTTCCAGTGGAAGTGGCACTCTGGAGGTCGCCGGATCGGTTGCTCAAAATGGAAACAGAAGCAGTAGCACTGGAGAAAGAGGAATGAGAAGTTTCTTGATTGCTGACATTCTTCAAATGGCTCACGATTTCCAAAATGGTCGAATTATCACTGATGCGCTCCACAAGGCAATTTTTGATACAAGCGATGTGACAGCGATGTTTCACATCTACAGAACCTTCGAGTGCGTCTGTGAATACTTGCAATTCACTTTCAGCGCCGGAGAGCGTCTTCCAACTTGGCCCGAGGTCCGAACAATTCATGAATACTATCACTCGGATTATGACCGTACTCGTTTCCATGCAAGTGAGACCGTTCGCAGACGTGATAATCTCTTCTGGCGCTTCGTCAACTACTGTAACAGTGATTTGCCAATTGGTGGACGCCCGATCCTGTCGGTTTCATATGATGAGGGATTCGAGGAGAGCATCGATCAGGGTTCTAATTTTGGGACCATTCCGCAGCAACTCATCTCTAGAATGGCTGCTGAAGCCTTCGACGATGAAGATGATGGATTCGACGACGCATTTGACATCCCTGGTCTCAGACTCGGAGGTGTCGAGGTCCTAATCCAGCAGCAACGTCACAGAGTTCGCCGCGCGGCTCTCAAGCAAGCTCAAATCGACTATCCGACGGCAGAGGAGGATTTGGGTTACGTCGGCGGAGGATTCGGACAAGAAGATGATGATCATCATTCTTATGCTATCTATGAACAACAGAAGACTGTTGCGTTCGTTGATCTCTCTGAAAAGCCAAAAGTCGAGGTTCTGACTGATGAAGATTTCATGGAACAGTTCAAGGCAGCGGAAGCTCGTTGTCAAGCTAGACTTGCGATAGAACCAATGGTAAAAGTGGCTCGCACCGTAATCAACGGAAAGGTTGTGGAGTATACGGTAAGCTTGACTAATCGAATTCAAGACTCTAGAAAAGAATTTTTCAGGAATCCCAGCTCTTTTCTCCACCGGTTTCACGCAGAACTATCTACAGCATGCTGAAGCAGTTCCCGGAACATCAAGAAAATCTTCTGAAGTTCATCACTCTCCATGTTGATAAATGTGAGCTTGAGAATGTAATTCCTTCTCGTGAGTATATGTCTGACATGGAGAGCAGCTTCTTCGCTCATCATCGCATTGTTCGTGCCGCATTGAGAGGTATGCTAAGAATTCGGATCAATCAAATTTTTCATGTTTTCGATTTTCAGCTCGCGGAGAAATCACGGAAGCAGAAGAAGCGGAATATCAGCAAAGCAGCAACTTGATGTATAATCAAGATTTCGTAAGTTGTTGTCCATTGTCCTTGTTGTATACCTTTCCCAGTTTTCCCAGTCCAATTCCAAATATTTTCTTTTGAACCGATATTTCAATTAAACCAATAGAAACATTTTTCAGGCAGCATTGATGTTCCCAGAATTGGATGAATCCCACGATGATTTCCTTAATGATCTCCCAATCTCTTCTCGTCGCCGTTCGAGCGATTCGGATTCGAAGGAGGCTCCTTCTATGAAGAAGCCACGCAGTTTTTAAAAAAATCTCATGTATCATTTTTCCCTGTCTCTCACTATTAACTATTTGCACTTTATATACTCTACAGCAAGCTCTATGGTATCAACGGCTCTCGCCCCCTCCTTCATTTATAGTTATTTCGAATTCTTGGAGTTCAGTTGTATTCCCATGACCCTGTTTCTACAAACATTCCCAGTCTGTTCACCATGACATTTATTCAATATTTTGCAACATTCCTTTTTCTACAAGTTTACCACATTCATGTTTTTTTCACCACTCTCCAGAGAGAGCTCTCTATCTACTTTATCTATCATTTCTTCTTTTCGTCGTTCAACTGTTCTCCCTATTCAAAAAAAAACACTGTTCCATTTTAGAAATCTTGCCCTGTTTCTTATACCAAGAATCCCGATCATTTCTTTGTTCATCTCGCACCCTCTCGTTCTCTCGCCAGTTCTTTTTTTTTGCATCCCGGATTATTATATTCTGCCCGCCCGAAACACAACACAAATCTTATTGAACGATCTCTCCTATCTTCTCGCCCCCAATCACATTGTTGGTCCAATCAACACAGGGTTTCCCCTTCTCCTTTAATCTTTTTCTATTTTATTGAGCCACCAAAATATTGAGCTCCTCCTTTTTTATCCACCACCCAAATTCCTATGAATTGAATTTCGTTCCTTTCTTTTTTCGTTCGTTTTAATATAGAATCCCAAAAAAAACCCCGACAACTTGTACCATTTCCCCATGATTCGTTTTCCAACCCATTGCATCTCTTTTTCCCATTTCCTACAGTCTCTCGTCTGAACAAAATGTATAGAACTCGCCACCACACCCGTTAGTTTTCAAAAAACGCCCCCCTAGAATCCTAGTGATGACCCCTTTTGTTTTCTTTTTTGTTTCTCTTTCCATACTTCTTCTCTTTTTCCTGTCCTTTACATATCTGTCCTTTTATCCTTTTTTCCTGAAAACTGTCCCATCCCCAATTCACAAGATTTCGGTCATGTGCATTCTTATACACCCAGTTCAATAAATGCTCTAACTAGAGAAATCAACCCGATTTTTATTGAAACACACAGAAATATCGAATCAAAAAGAAGTGTTCTATTGGCCAACAGAAGCATTGTAATCCTTTACAAACTTCTCGTACTTGGCAACGTTCTCCGGAGTCAGAAGAGAAGCGTACTTCTCCTTGTACTTGTCCAAAAAGTAGTTGAGCATTACACGATGAATGTAGAGGTACTGTAGATCGTTTTGAATCGAGTAGGCACGTTGATCACGGAGTTGTTTCACAAGATCCGGCATCGGTGGACACTGCTTGTTTTCGGCGATTTTTTCTAGAAAAAAACGATTTATTTTTGTCCAGGAGGAATAATTTGAAGTAATGAAACTATGATGGAGCAGGAAACATCCGGAAAGAAAAAATCAGACATTCTGAAACTTAGAAAAATGAAAATTCCTCAGTTTGGAAATACGGAAACTGGAAAATCTAAAATCCAGATCTTCAGAATATTTAATTCCAGAATTCGGATTTTTGAAATTTTAGAAAGTCAGATGTTCGGATTTTGAGAAATACGGAAATTCGATAATTCAGAAAGGCTGAAATTCCGGAATTCGGAATTTTGTAAGCCTCAAATCCACAAATTCGAATTTTCGAAATTTCGGAAAATCAGATATCCAGTAATTTGAAGGCTCTAAAATTCTAAAATTCTAAAATCTAAGCATTTAAAAATTTCAATCCCGGGATTCGAAGTTTTGAAATGTTAAAAATTCGACAGTTCTGAAACTCGGGAACTCGGAATTTTGAAAACACAATCGGCGAAAATCAGAAAGAAAACGAGAAAATGAATCCTGAAAATACATTTTTTGGTTACTGTAGGTGTTGTTGCGGGACCTTCAAATAATCTATTCCAACAATTTGAGCACTATATTCGAACAGTTTCAATTTAAACAAAATAAAAAAAACCAACCAAGAATATACTCAATTGCTACAATAGTTCCAGTACGTCCAATTCCAGCCGAACAATGAACCACAATCGGAACTCTTGATCCACGAACAGCCGATAGCAGCTCCAAACTGGTCAACTTGCATGGAGGAACTCCACGATCCGGCCAATCGGTCCAGTGAAGATGACGAACAGAAATTGTTTGTCCAGAGAATGAAACATTCAACATCGTCACTTGAATCTCTCCATCTCTTTCCATTGGCTTCGTTCCCGAGACATTCTCCACCACGACGCCCGTCTTGAATTCCTTCTTTTCTCCTTGAGCAGCCGGCCAGTATTGAGCACATTTCAGTTTTCCAGTTTCAATCGTTTTGCAAAGCATCACAATTTGCTCCACTTTATTCTGGATGACCATCCACCAGAATTCCTCGCAAGTGTGATCCAATGGTCCTTGGCAACAGATGAATCTCTTTTCAGGATACATTGGACATCCGACGTAGTTGGCATGGATGTAGGTGCACGGAGATGGAGGATCCAGTTTCACGATGCATTGATCCTGGCATGGAACATCTTGATAACTGAAAAATAAAAACGGTTCCGGCTTTTAGAATTCTCGCGAATCTTGTCGAACTTTTCGAACTTTTTCGAATTTTTTCGAAAAAATCAATATTTCTGAATTTCATGAAATTTCTGGAATTGTTGAATTTTCCTAACTTTTCAACATTTTTAAAAACTGAACAAGCCATCTGGAATGTGCTTTTGAAGTTTCTGAAATTTCAGTAATTTGAGAACTTTTGATTTTGAGTTTCCGGCTTTTTCAAGTTTCCTAGTTTCTGGAATTTTTGAGTTTTCTGATATTTCTGGTTCCTGAGTTTTCGACGTTTGAGACTCGGCAAATACCGGGAAAAAAATTCGCGGAAAAAGTGGGCGGAGCCTAAATTGCAACCCTGACACGGTTTTGCCGCATGGTTGGGGGGAGGATCATATTCAAATGTGCTAAAAATCAGCGCGGAAAAACCTAGGGTTTCATTTTAGGCTCGCCCCCAGACTCCGCCACTTTTCCCAGAAATTTATTCCCCGGAATTTGCGGTGTCTCCGGCTTTTCGGAATTTATAGAATTTAGAAAACATAGTTTTAGATTTTTAAATTACCGATTCTTGGTGACGTTGATATCCGTAGAGTGATTGGCGTTGAAGACAGTCTGGGTCATATCACTACGAGTGTATTTTGCCAGAACTCGAAATTCCTCACGAAGTTTCTCGACTCCAAAATCCAATGCACGAAGAACCCATTCCTGGACGATCGGATGAGCTTGTGGCGGCGCTGGAGTCATATTGGTCTTATTGGTAGCATCTCCAGTTTCCTCTTTCTTCTTCTCCTTTTTGATACGTCTCGATCCTTCGGTTCCTCCGTTCTTCTTTTTTCCTTCAGCTACCACTTTCTTCCCTTTATCCTTCTTTCCCAATCCCAAAACGGCACCAGCTTGGGCTCTTGGTGGGTCTTCATCATCAGACATCGACGCAAGCTTATTGTTCACAAGTGGCATTGCTTCGGTTGAAAGCTTCGAAAGCTTCTTTTGACTTTTTTCTTCGGTTTACTGAACTGATGACTTTAAGAACGCCTTCTTGTTGTCTTATGCTGGCTTCTTTTTTTAAATCTAATAGGTTGTCAGCCGAGACGTTTCACGTAGAAATACACATTTGCTCAAAAAAAGTATTGCACCTAGAAAATTTTAAAAAGAGAAAACAAGATAGAAGATTACTGTAGGGGAAAAAAATTGAAAATGAAATGGATTACTGTATGGTGAAAAATATATTTGAGTTACTGTAGGCTGAAAAGGATTACTGTAGGTTGAAAAATATTTAAATATGAAGAGGATTACTGTAGGGAAATTTTTTTGGAAAATGAAAAGGATTACTGTAGAGGAAAACATTTGAGAATGAGATGAACTACTGTGGGAGAAAAATTTTAATAATGAAAACGGTTACTGTAGAAAGAAATATTTGAAAGCGAAAAGGATTACTGGAGGGGAAAAATATTAGACATTGACAAGAATTACTGTAGGTTGAAAAATATCTAAAAACGTTTACGGTAACAGCGTTTCAAGGTCCGAAAAGCCTTAGGATGTATGCGAATTCTGCGAATTACTACCAGGAAACTAATTATTAGTAAGAACTCACCGTGACAACAAGAAAACCTTCAAGAAAACAAGAAACAAGAAAACAAGAAAACCACTTCCGAAAAAAAGGAAGTATGGTCATGGAATCGTCCGTGGAAAAAATCTTTAACTCATTTTTAATTTGCATTGGTTTTTGAATACTACAGTTATCACTCAAAAAGGACAAAAAAGTAAGCATACTATGACAGGGTTCGAACTGCTATGGTACGTCGTTGCGCTCTAATGAGAAGGGGCGGCGCCATAATTCAAAATTCTTCTCCGTGTCTCTCACTGCACTTCACTGAGATTGTATTCTCTCGCTCCCAAATTAATTATTGAAATTTACATCGGCTTAAAACTGTGCCACGCCTCTTCTCATTAGAGCGCAACAGAATACAACAGAAGTTCAAACCCTTATATTTCAGTGGATGGAAACTATGTGAATCTACAAGAAGTGAAGACTGCCGATGCACCGAAACATCGCGGTGACACGTATATGAATATACATTGTGGTGCTACATACATGAATCTGGGAGAAATTAAAAACAATCAACCACCACCACCTCTGGCTAGGACCCCGACAACTCAGCCGAAATTCCAAAGTCCAATGTCTCCAAGTGCAACGCCACCACGGACGCCAACGAGGACTCCAACGAGAACTCCAACGAGAACTCCAACAAGGACCCCAACAAGGACGCCAACCAGGACTCCACCAAGAGCTTCGAAAAGACCAACAAATAGAATGACGACGCCTACAAAGACCCCTCCCAGAACATTTGGGACTTCCCCGGTTTCCAGTTCTCCAGCATTAACTCCAACGACACCTACTAGGAATCAGACGATCACAAAACCCACTACAACTACTTATTCAACAGCTTCATCTGGTGCTAGAACTGCAAACTCTTGTGCTCCATCCACAACGACCACTTCTAATACCGTAACCCCATCATCATTCGATGGACAGTCAGCAATGAATGTGAATTATAACGATGAAGTCACACCGCCTGAAAGTTTTTTCGAATCTTCCCAAGATGTTCCTAAAATTGTGTATTTTGTGAGGGTCCACCCAAAAAAGTTGTTTCAATTTCAGCTTTTTTCTTTCAGATTCGTTTTTGTCACTCGTTTTCATTCTCTCTACATTCGTTTTCGTCTTATGGTCGTTGGGTGCTCTTGCCGGTCTTCATTATATGGATCTACCCGTTTTCGAGCAAAAATTTTTGGATAATGGTTAACTAAATATCAATAAAATAGTTTCTTGTTTGTTTATTCACCGATTCTTATATTACAGATCACAAAATAAATTTTAAAAATACAATTAAAGGTATTCAGTTTAGATATTCCAGGTAGTAGATGGGTTATTGTTCAAATAGGTCTCAATTAGACTGATGACATCATTCTTGGTCTTGCTCTTTATGGATTTCTGAGCTTCACAGTGTTCCACAGCCATCGCGACAAGCTCATCCTTCTTGAAATTTGACATCTGCTCAGCAGCAATACATTCTCGAATAGTCATTGTTTTCTTGGCACTCGAGCCATCTCCATCGTCAGTTTTTCGCTTTCTGCTCGCTCCTTTTGGTTTCTCTTCTTTCTTGTCTTCATTCAACGCAAATGTCTCTACAATGCTCTCGATTTGGGCACCAACTCTTTGAAGACGATTCGGTATTTGATAGTATGGCTCTATAAAACTTTTTTTTAAAATTGGTCTAAATGGGTCTGATCCTACCAACTGTATCCTTTCTCTCAATAAGTTCTTCTCCAGTTGCCTCCAAACAAAGTGCTGATCTTTCCGATAGTAGACGTGGATTCTCATAGAAGCTCGGATTGTAGCTCATCGTCAACTTCTTCACAAACTGTTTCATCGCGTTGACTTCTTGCTCAGTCGATTCTTCAGTCAAAGCAGTTTGCTGCTCTTCGAAACGGTGGAAATCGTCGCGAAGCTCTTCGCGGAATGGGAGACCGACGAGCATGAAACCTTCGTGGAGCCATTCCGATGAGTCAACTTGAGCACGTTGTTGTTCTAGGCGAAGCTGAAAGAAATCCAGTTTAAAACTTAATTATCGAGTTAAAGGTTTTTCACCAAGTCGGGTTTCTTGTCTTCCATCTCCTCGTCATCCTCTCCAAGATTACTGGGTTCTATGAGCGTCATATCCTTTTTGAATGGAACCAATGCAACAATTCTCATCTTTTGTCCCACTCTACTCTGGTATTTGGCAACCATCGCTTGTTGTCGTGCCCAGCATCGATCCAACAATGTACGATACATATTGGTACTACCCAATGTGGTTTGATCATTGGGTTGAATGATTTTCGAAGAGAAGGCAACTTCTCGATCAACTCTGTTCAGTGGGACAAATCCGATGACATCCACTCCCTTGGATTCCATTTTATTCATGAATGCAAACTGTTCTCCGTCCAAAATGATCTTCTCTCCACCCAAAACAATCGATTTTTTGAGGTCTCGCCGATTCCGAACCGCTTCCTCTTGGATGAGTTCTGGAAATTAGATAATGTCATAGATAATTATGCATTTTATTGATCTAAACTTACTACACTTCTGCAATGTTCTTTCAGTTTCATCTACAATGGCTGATGTTCCCTGGGTTTCATAATCGCCGCCAACACCTTCTTCAACCTCCAATTTCGCCTTCTTCGTGACATATCCAGCAGTTTTCACGATTTTCTCTTCGGTATCGGCGGTGTACTTTTGACTGTGATCCAGGGGTTTCGCTTCCATCACCATGGAGAACCTGAGAAAACGGTAAATATAGAAACGAACCCTAAACTACAGTAACCTACACAGAAACATCAAAGGTGACACCAGGACCAACGTTTACTGTGAGAGTTGCGTGTGAACGTTGAGCTGTGATCTTCTGACGGATACGCGCTGCAGCATCGCATTCAGTACTGAACACTTCAGTGTCTAGGTGATACTAAATGAGATGTTAGTTTTAAAGGAAATTCGATTATTCCTATTTACCCATGGCTCTTTCTTTTTCTCTTCCTTCTCCTGTGGTTTGTATCCATCCTCCGGCAGAATTATCACCGAAAACTCTCCGAGCGTTTTGCGTTGACCTAAACCGATTATTTTCTTGACAGCGGTTTTGGTACGGTTCTGAAACTCAACTCGTAGACTTGGCAAAAATAAGAGTATCACTCACGAAATACGACGATTCCCAGAAATTATCTCGTCCAAATGGGTTACGATTGTTCGTCAGATAAATGACAGATTGGTGTCGTGTGTTTGGGCAACTGGCGAACACACGTTTGCAGTAGTTGAGAACATTCGACAGGTCGGATTCGTGATGGCCCCCAGTGATATTGGTAACAGCAGACAGAAGATCCTCTGAAATTTCGAACTGAAACAAAAACTTATAAGACAACCCCTCACCTTCATCAATAATCTCTTTGATTGTATTGACTTCTTCCTGTCCAAGAACACCCATCGGCACTAGAATGGTGCTGTTCTCGATTCCTTCTGTTTCCGAGTTTTTCTGAAAAACACCAAAACTAATACCTTCCAATAATTCTGAACTTACTGTTCCTGTTACAATTACACCGATGTGGTTGTTCAGACTTCTGGAGCAACACACACGGACCATTTCATCGAGCATCAGCTTCAACGCAGTCTTGAACTCTGATTCTTCTCCGGGTTTCGAGGTCTCGAACATCGCCGAACTTCCATCAATCACGAAGAACGTGTATTTTTTGTTGGCTGCTCCCTCGTAGTCGTCCTCTTCAAATCGTGTCTCATCCATCTATAATAAAGATTCAGAAATGGAAAAGGGACCTCGATAGGAAATAGAAATAAGAAAGAACTGTTGAAACTCTTCGGAATTTTATAAGAAGTAATCAATCAATGCAATTTTATCAATAAGTTGTTGGGTGAATAGCTAGATAAGTCAAACCTGAAAGTATTCTAACAATATGGTACAAAAGTGATTGAAGTGTTTAAAAATAAAGCAAAAAAATGAAATGTAGAAATTTAGGCTTCATTTAGCAAACTAAATCTTCATCATCGGGGCGAAGATATACGAAAGATCCACACGGTTGTAGGAGTTGCGTTCCAGATATTTTTCGTTGATTCGATTGACAATATCCATCGAATCTATGCGACAGGCGTTGAATTGCTGGCGGTCACGATTCTCAGCGGCTCCTGGAAATTTGAGTCTCAACATATAACGACGAACGAATTCTTACTTTTCTGCGAATCACTCATTTTACGAAGAGCGGCGTCTACATCGAAAATCTGACGAAAGAACATTTGTTGATCGAAAAGTTGTTTCGATGTGTATTCGCGACGGAGAACTCCAGTTGAACAACGAATGCATTCTAATCCTTCACGACACCATTTCATCGTCTGCACTCTCGTTTTGAATTCACATGTCGGTTCATCGCACCTGGAATTTCAAAAAGATAAAAGATTACATAAAATAAAACTCTTACTTGTATGCTGCAATATGATGTCTGGCCACGAACTCGCCCAGTTGACAGTCAATTTGATTGGAGATAACAGCTTGATGCTCTGAGGATTCCCATGTTCCGTTGCATTGCGAACATCCAGCAATCAAGAATCGAGGAGATGTAGGATCGGTCTGAAAAATAGGTTTTGTAATGCACGATTTTCCGAAACTTGCGAAATTGGCATGCCAACCTCGTTTTGTTTGTGTCTGCGTCTCTATACTAAAGTCTAGTCACTTACCACACAATCAAACGTTTCTCGAATGACGTTAGAATGACCGCATTCTGGGTGTGGGCAAACAACAACCACTCCTTCGCACAGCTCGTAATTCTGAAGAAAACAGGGATACAGATTTAACATTTAGAAGGAAAACGTTACCTCTTGTTGCCAAGTGCAATCCTCTTCAGCAGCTCGTTGGTTAGCTTGTGCAGCTGCGGCTCTACGGTAATTTGTTGAATCCAATCCAAGGCATTCAGCAATTCGAACTGCATCAGTCTCCTCGATGGGCTCAACGAGGCGGGAAACAACTGGATGAATCTGTTGAGCGAGATAGTAGAGAAGATCTAAAAAACATTTGATGGGTCTTATGGTTGACTCCATTTAAAAAATCTAACCAATCTTCAAGTCCTTGTTATCAACCATTTCAGTTCGATGATAGGCTCTTTGTGTAGCACCATTATCAGTTCCATCTTCACAGATTACGTATTCAACGATATCATTGTGTCTCATGTGGAACTTTCCACTTTTATTAAGTCTCTGTGCAACTGCAGCATGCGATTGAGCCTTCACGTCTCCATACTGATCTGGATTTTTAGTCAGCTGTTTGCTGATCTGGAACATTTCTATAGGTACTGTTCCAGAATCAAGCTTCTGGCGGATGTCTCTGAGGAGGTCATCAATTGAAGAAATCATCTCATCTCGAGACAGGGAAGAGTCCAGAATTTTATCGACGACCGCTCTGAAATTACAAAGTTTTTAGATATTAAAAAAGCTTCAATAACTCACGTTCCGATTTCTTTGGCCAATTGAGACCAATCTCTTCTGACAATATCGAGTCCCTTCAACTCCTTCGCTTCAACCTTCGTGTCTGGATTGATTGTCAACGCGGCGTACTTTTTCTTTTTGAGCAATAACATTCTCTTGAAAACTCCATCGAGATCAAGTTCTAGCAACCGATGGCATTTGTTAACAGCCTTCTTGATTTCAGAACCCAACTTCTTGGCCATTGCCAAATCCATCGAGTTCGTGTTGATCATGATAGAATCAGTATCTCCGTAGACTACAGAGTAACCCATTTTCTCCACAAGATCTTTCGAATGCATCAGAATTTCTCTTCCCTTGGCAGTAACCAGAGCAGCTAGAGGTTTCGCATAGAACCGAGAATATTGGAAACCGAGACATCCATACATGGAGTTGGCAGTGAGTTTGAGAGCCATTTGTCTGATATCCATCTGTTTCCGTTTCGATTCATTTCTCTCCGTCTTCATCAGAGCTTTTACATCTCGCCTACACTCCACAAGCTTTCTGATTTCACGAGGAAGCACACCTTCAACGTCTGTGTTTTGGGGAACAGATAGTTGCTCATCACTATCCTTCGAATACACCAAAGTGGTGTAGCAGATATTGTACTCTTGAATGATACTTGGGTAGAGGGAGTTGAAATCAAGCAACAAGATGAGTGTTTCGTAGAGTCCCTTCTTCGGTTCCAGAACCAATCCTCCAGAATACTGTGCTTTTCCAGCCTTCTTTTCGTCTCCTTCTTCTTTAACCTGCTGCTCCTTTTGTTTCTTGTTCTCAAAAGCACTGTACTTATCCGGTGCAATAAGATCAGCCTTCTCGAATGCATGCAGAAGGAGATATTCATTCCTTTCGGCTCTTCCTCCCATCATTGTTCTTGAAGTGATTCCACCGACAATTTGCGAGATTTGCATGTAAAGAGGAAGAGCATTGAGACGAACCACGATACGAACAGAGAGAAGACTATCGTGCCATGACCAATTGATTAGACTGATTAGATCCTTTGAGTCACTATAGAGGTTTGAAATCTCATTGGAATAGATCTCTCGTCGATTAGTTCCAAGAATTTGTTGAGAGAGCTCAGTTAAATCGAAACTTCTCGATTTGACAAGTTCCATAGCGGCCAACTTTGAATCAAGCATCATCCGTCCAGCTGTTAACTCCCATTGTCCAGATTTCGAGTGACCCAGTTTTCCAATGTTAATCGAACGTTTTAGACGGGAAATGCGGGACCAGTTAGGTAATTTTAGCTTTTCGAGACGCGAAACCAGAAGAGCAATCATAGCTGATAAGTCATGTCCAACAACCATATCCGGTTCTTCATCATTGATCTCAGCAAGGAAAAGAGTGAGAAGGGCCTTCTCGTTGGGAACAGTTTTCACGAATTTTGAGATTTTTTCGGATTCCAGACGCTTCTGTATGTCATATGGGAGAGATCCACCGTGTGGTTTCGTGACCACTGAAAATTATATTGAGTTCAAACACACAGGACGTTAAAAAACTGAAACTTACAGCATCTCGGCTTGAAAGCCTTGTTATCAGAACTCGGATGAGCAAGATCGCATTTCGAGTTGAACAACGTTGAAATCATACAAATTTCGTTTTCCTTCCTTTCGTTCAGTGTTGTCACAATATTCAATGCGAGGAGTTTGATTGAGGGAACTGCTGAATTGGCTGTTCCTTTCAGTTTTTCCAAATCCTCTCCTTCCAAATACTTGATATTTCTCATCTTCTCCATATCAACTTCAAACTCATACTTGCAGTTTGATGTCTTAGCCTTTGGATCCACGTAACTGTAGAGATCAATCCATCCGGGACCCATGAATTTTTTCTCGATCAGAAGACGTTCAAGTGGGGAGACGGAGGTGTTGAATGTGTGTGAAAAGGTGTCACCTTTGAGATCGTTCGGAAGTTTTCCCTTATCTGCCGGATAGAGCACTTCCATCAGGGGAGTCTTCGTTCCTCCTCCATTTCCGAAACTCTCATCTCGAATCAATTCCTTCTCGACCATCTTACACTTGAATTCGTGTGTATTGAATTTGTTCTTCAAGACTTCTCCAATCTCTTTGTGCAGATCTGCCAAGTTCGATTCTTCTCCGGTTCTTAGATTCTGAAATTTAGGCACATCATTTTTACTCTGTTTTTACACCATCTCACCTCTGAACGTGGCATGAAGTAAACCTTCCGGCAGATATTCTTAACAACGATTGAACAGGTTTCCCAAGTGTTCGCACCGGTTTTCACTTTTCCGAACAAGTACACAGTTCCATTGGCCTTGTGCACGTCCTCGTAAGCATCTATCCAATACATTCTGATTGCCTTCACATCTTCACGATCTCCAGTCATCACGTAGAATGGCTCAGTTCCAGTTTTCACCTCAACCTTCCCATCTTCCTCTTCTTCTTGATCCTCATTTCCAGTCCAAACGTCTTCAATTACTCGGAATTTTGCCAGACTGTCCTCAACTTCTCTTATAGTCCCAGAAGTTTTCTGTTCTTCTTCTTCTTCCTCGTCCATTTCCATTTTCACAGCATCCTTCCGAGCATCTAATTCAGTTTCATGGGTTTTAGAAGACAGTTTAGAAGTAGAAACAGGAGAGACAGCTTCTTCTTTAAAGGGAGAAGACAAAATGGGGTCATTGAAGTCGGGGACACCATAATCCTCGTCGTCATCGGATGGTTCAGGAGCTCTTACCACTGTTTTCTTGTTGTTTTGGAAGCGGTGAGGTGCCAATCCTGTCACATTTGCGCCTGTTTTTGCTTTTTTAATAATTGGGCGCGGCATGATGGCATCGGAACCGGGCGATTCAGCACTTCTCCCTCTTTTGAATGGATTCGCGGGAACCTTTTTAGGTTTCGTTATTTCTTCCTCTCCGTCACTATCATTATCTCCCAGCTGATCAAGAATGTTTTTCAGATCTTCATCCTCATCCAGCGTGGCTTTCAGCTTCGACTCATCAACGGCTGCTTTTCGACTTGCAGTGTAAGAAATGTAAGCGTCCATTGCTCCCTTCTTCTTTTCTTTTTTGTCTTTCTTATCCTTTTTGGACTTTTTGTCTCCTTTGTTTGACGATGACTTCCTTGGCTCTTCATCGTCGTAGTCATCATAATCATCGTCCTCAAAGTCAGCACCAGTGTCCGCGTAGCCCATTCCATCTATAGAAAAAGGTTATGAAAAAATACGACAATTTTGAAACTTACTGTCATCCACAACAAAATTTTCGTTTTGTCTCTTGGACACGATCCTCTCGTACTCCGCATCATCTACTGTATCGTAAACGTCCTCAACTTCTAGCTAAAATCAACAAAATTACTTTTCCAAACATGTAAAAAAACATTCTTACATCTGGTCTATAAACTTTTCCAGTAGCACGGGCTTGTTTCAGCTTCTCCATTTCAGACATCATTTTCGTGGTCTTCGCACTCACCCCGCAGCGACGAGACGAGCGCCGCACATCCGTCTCATTATTTTCAGAGTCTGACATCTAGAATCAGTGAAATTGCTAGTTTTGAGTCTTGAAAACAGATTTTTCAGGCGAAGGTGTCAAAATGCGGTAAATGTGTTTGAACGACGATGTTTGAAACTTGAGTTCGCGCGCTGATTTCGCCGCATTACGACGGAGCGCACTTTGTCAGTTGCAATTTTTTTGAGACCCCGCAAATTCCGGAGAAAAAATTTCCGGGGAAAAAAAACTCCGAAGAAAAGTGGGCGGAGTCAGGGGGCGCGTTTTTTCGACTTTGGGGCGCGTTTTTCGACTCGTTGGCTTGAACCCAAGTGGGGGTCTCTTTTTCAAATCTGAAATTTTATTTAATTTTCTTGTTTTTCTTTGACTAAATTAATATAATTTGCAGATGGTTACCAAGAAGAAAGCACGAAAAAATGAAGATTTCAAAAAAGTCAAACTGAAGGTTGGAAAAAAGCTGAAGAAACAACAACAACGGACACAACTATTAAAGGTATTTCAGACTACAACAATACTATGACAGGTTTTTAAGTGACAATTTTCAGCAAAAAGAGTTGTTCTGGCGAGTCAATTAGAAGAAAAAGTTGAAACTGATGAGAATCCATTGAGCTTCCGTGGATTAACACTCAACGAGCTTTGCAAGCAGATGGGTCATTTCAACTCCGTTAGTATCTGATTTTTAGCGATGTCCTTGACCTGGTTTTTATTGCAGAAGGTGAAAATGAACGCAATTCAAGGACTGAAACAGATTCTCACATCACGACCGGATCTTGTGAATGTCCAATTGCGTCTACTAGTTCCATCAGTTGTTGTTCATGTTTCCGATGCTTCGTTTGAGCCTCCGACTCGTCAAAATCTTCTGAATCTGTTCAAGATTCTTTGCACTGCTTCTGTTCAATCAATGTCGGCACATATTACACTCTTCCTGGCGCATGTTTTACGAGCGCTCACAAATATTGTCACCGAGTAAGTCTAAAGGAATTTCCTCATTTTAATCTGTTCATTTTATTTCAGAGTTCGCCATTTGGCACTCAACGCGCTCTCCATACTTTTGGATCGATACCCGTCACTTTGTCGGAACCACGCTGATCTCTTCCCTTGCTTCATAAATTATCTCGGAAGTTCGAAACGTTTATCCTGGCACAAAGCAGGACTAATTGATACGATTCTGAATTTTATCAATGTGAGTCGGAGTTCAAAAAAATCTAATTTCGAAGTGGTATTCATTTAAGGTATATGACATGAATCGAGAGCGAAAAATGGAGACTACCGAGCTGAAAATCAATTTCGAAGATGGAAAAATGGAAGGAGAAGTGAATACGAAAAAAGTTTTTATCCAGAATCCAGACGCTAGTCCGTTCGATTTCGGTGTCGTTAGTTCATCGAAATCCCATGCAGTCTCTCCGTTCGAATTGCCAGATGCTCTTCTGAATTTAGCCAATGTCCTTGCACCGATCATTTGTTAGTTGAATTCCTTTTTTCAGGTTCAAAGTTATATTTTTCAGCTAGTATTATTCTGGAAGATGCTGGTGGTCAGTTCATGGTTCAAGGAGTGAAACTGATCGAAACCATTGTTAGAGGAGCTGAAAATCAACCCAATGACTTTTTGCTCAAAGACTTTAGAGTGAGTTTAGATTTCGAATTTCTAGAACCTTATATTTATATCTGTCCAGACTTTTCTCGAATATCTTTTTGTCATCATTTAAAAAAAAGCCGTTAACACTGAACTATTGCGAAATTCAGCCAAGTCCTTATAAAAAGATGTATTGTAATCATCAGGTTCAATTATTACTTTCAGAAGCAAGTATACGATTCGATGTCAAGTGTCCGAATCGCCATTTCCAAACGGCAAGGCAAAAGTGATCGATTCAGAACGGCTGCCTCGTGGCTTGTTACTTCTTCTGACCACTGAAATAGATCAGTGTCAAATATGCCCCGCCCACGTTTGCTCAGCAAATAAAACCAGGTTTTCTCTGCTCTCTTCTTTATCTAGCACGCATTTTTACCTGAACTTTTTTTCATGCTGATAAGAGACAAAAATGGCAGGCGGCTATCAGCCCTTATTACATCTTTTCCCTTTCAAACTTTGTCCCTCCCCGTTCTCTGTATACTCTTGTTCTTCTTCTAGTTGTTATTTTTTGTTGTTGTTTCTTTTTTTTTGGAAAATAAAATAGTCATAATATCAGGAATCATAAAATTTTTTCTCGGTCGTTTCCCCGCTTCTTTTCTATCCCACAATCTTTATAATAGGCCTTTTGAGCTCAAGATTTTTCAGAATAATGGGGTTCTCGCCGTTTCTAGATGAATGCCGAGCCGAAGGGATATGGCCTGTGGGCCCGTCGTGCAATAAAGTTTCATTCTTTTAAAAAGGAATTTCAGAATAGATATGGATTTTCAGATTATCTCATTCGGCGTTTACTCGTTTTTCATTGTCGTCAATTTCATCGTTCTGTGTATTCCAAACACTGGGAATCATTATCAGCAAATGATAGGTATTTTTTAAATACTTCTACAACTGGAAAAAAAAATCTAAAATCGTTTCAGATGATGAGGGACGGACGACATCCAAACTCACCATGTCAAAAATTCTCTCAATTTGCTCCCTGTTTGCTGTAATTTGTCAGTCAATTTTCTACTTTTGCTTCGTGTTCTATTTCCACCCATACACACATCTTCTTCTTGCATTCTGTTTGTCAAAGCTGGTTAGTTTATTATTCTGACCAAAATTCTGATACAAAAAAATCGGAGCTGTTGTAGAGAAAAGCTTGTGGGCGTAGCCAAAGGCCCCACAAGGAAAGCCACCGTAACCTAAAACTTTCGGTCCTTTTTTCTCGATTCTTATTCGTTTTTGACAACTGTTGAGTTGAAAAACCTTCGGAAAAGTCGGAAATACAATTTTTCTGAATCTGAAAGTTGCCGAAAAAACGGGCAAAAATTGAGAAAAAAAATGAAATGAAAAATATATTCGGATTACGATAGGACAGCTCCGATCTTTTCGAATGCAAGCATAATAACGGTCGTTTAATAACAATCACCGTATTTGATTTCAGTTTTTCTGGATCTTCTGCATGTGCTCTTTCTCAAAATGGAGGAACCAACCTAGCACTCCAATCTCGTTGGCATTCGCCTTCTCAGCTGCACTTCTCATCGATTGTATCCCGTTGACGGCTTGGAAAACCTACTTCGATGGAGCCGGACAAAATCGTGGAGACGTCACATTCTACCTTATCGAATTGGCTCTGGTTACCGCAGTTTTCTTCTTTGCTATTGTTGCTGGATGCAGCAATTTCTCAGGATTCTCTTCTAGAGAATCGGTAACTTTTTCATTTCTTTGATTTTTTCTATTCTTATAATTTATTTTTAGGCATGGAACAACTTATCAAAGAAAGTCGTTATGGTTGCTCCCTACATCTGGCCAACCAAATCAATCACTCTTCAACTTCGTGTTGTATTCTGCCTTTTTCTGTTGATTGCTGGAAGACTGATTAATGTTTCCCTTCCTATTCTTAGCAAATGGATTGGTAATACAAATGTTTATTCAATTGATTAACTCATTGAATTTTTTCCAGTTGATGAGCTCTCCACACCAGACAGTTTCCATTACTCCCTCTTATTCCTTGCCACGTTTCTGAAATTCCTCCAAGGCAACGGAGCTATGGGTGGATTCTTGAATACCGTTCGTACCTATTTATGGATTCCAATTCAACAATATACAACTAGAGAACTGGAAGTAGAGCTTTTCAAGCATCTTCACTCTTTGTCTCTTCGATGGCATTTATCCAGAAAGACTGGACAAGTTTTGAGAGTTATGGATAGAGGAACAAGTTCGGTTAACAATATTCTTAAGTGAGTTTTGCTTTTTTCCAAAGCTTGGGAATCTTAAATCATTCGAAAATATCAAATTCCTTATAGCTACATTCTGTTCAATGTGGTCCCAACGATTGCTGACATTATCATCGCTGTGATATTCTTCTTCTCAGCTTTCAATGCATATTTTGGGCTTATTGTCTTTGGAACCATGGTTTTGTATTTAGGTAAGTTTTATATTAAAGGGGGAGTCGGACCAAAAATATATAGTTATTCATAAAACAACAGAAAAATTTTGCAAAACTTTATTTTGAATTCCCACCTTTATTTTCTGTGATTCAGGGAATTCAAAAAAAAATCCAGAACCTTCTAGAATTTTTCGATTTTGACCGATTTTTGCTGAACTTTTTTGATTGAATCTACAAATTTTTCCACACATTCTGATGTAATTTTTTTCAAAAACATGTCAGAATCCCCATTTAATTTTCCAAAAATATCAGATTTTCCTTTCAGCTGTCACAATTTCCATCACCGAGTGGCGTACTCAATATATCAGAGAAGCCAATGAAAAAGACAACGCGACGTCAGCAATCGCCACAGATTCTCTGATCAACTATGAGACTGTCAAATACTATGGAAACGAAGAATTCGAAGTGAATCGATTCAAAAAATCCATCGAAAGCTATCAGGTGACTGAATGGAAGACTCAAGCTTCTCTCGCATTCCTGAATTGCCTTCAAAATGCGATTATTGGAATTGGAATGATTGGTGGATCTGTATTTGTTGTCTACATGATTGTTCATGAGAAGACGTTGACCGTTGGTGACTACGTTCTCTTCACCACCTACCTCCTGCAATTGTACACTCCACTCAACTTCTTTGGAACTATTTACAGGTTTGAAAGTGTCAAAAATGTATTAGTTATTAGTTTTTATTTTCAGAGTGATCCAGAAGGCATTTGTCGATATGGAAAACATGTTCGATTTGATGAATGATGAAGTTGAAGTCAAGGATCTTCCACACGCTCTCCCTTATAGCGATGCTAAAGGAACAATCAGCGTTAAAAACCTTACTTTCGAATATAACACTGGATTACCTGTCATTAAAAATATCAGTTTTGAAATTGGAAATGGACAAACTGTTGCTCTAGTTGGCTCGTCTGGATCTGGAAAAAGTACACTGATCCGTCTTCTTTTCCGACTTTTCGAGTCAACCGAAGGAAGTATTGAATTCGATGGAACTGATGTTCGGAACTACACAATGCACTCGCTTCGACAGCAAATTGGAATCGTTCCACAGGACACTGTTCTCTTCAATGATACTATCATGTATAATATTCGATTCGGAAGACCCGATGCTTCGGATGAAGAAGTGATCGAAGCGGCGAAGGCAGCGATGATCCATGATAAGATCTCATCACTTCCAGAAGGATATGAGACAATGGTTGGAGAAAGAGGACTAAAATTGAGTGGAGGAGAGAAACAGCGGGTTGCGATTGCGAGGACGATTCTCAAAAAACCGCAGTTTATCTTTTTGGATGAAGCCACGTCTGCACTGGATACACCGACGGAAAGAGCCATTCAGAAGTGCCTGGAGAAATTGTGCAAATCGAGAACCGGAGTTGTGGTTGCTCATCGATTGAGTACTGTAGTCAATGCGGATCTTATTTTGGTTCTCGACAAAGGAATCATCCTAGAGAGGGGAACGTGAGTATTGGGAATTGAAGCCGGGATGTTCGGAATGGCCTTTTCAGAATTTTCAAAATTTAGAAAATCCGGATTTTTCCTATTCTCAAAATTTCAAATTTCAAAACTATTATTCGTTTTTTTCAGCCACAAAGATCTTCTTGCTCAAAAAGGAGTCTACGCTTCAATGTGGGAAGCTCAAATCGCTGAGCAACGTGCCAAATCGATTGAACTGGGAGAAGATGTTACAAGTGATTCTAGCAGTTAATTTTTTCCAATCTTATAAACCCTCTCTTTCATCTAAATGTTCAAAATTTTTTTTAGTTTTTTTGTAATGCTCAATTTTTCCAGTTTTGTATAGATCTCCTAGCCGGTTTTTCTCTGTATAATTTGTTTCATGTTTTATGAAAAGTGTCAATTTCGAAATGTTTTTATTCAATTCAATAATATGCTTGTCTGAAAAAAAAAGGTTAAATAGAGAGTATTTTTTGCAGTCTGAATACGGTAGCGATATCGAAGCGGAGAGCCTAAATAGCACACAAACGGTGGAGACGCAGACACATTTTCTCTGCGTCTCAACCTTTTGTTTCTCAGACAACCATAATATTTCGTGGGCAATATTGCATTCCCAATAAAAACGTCNCTGAAAATCANTATAAAATTCACCGTACACCACCTTTCTTATCAACCACTTCTCCATTAATATATAAATTTTCTGTCTCCATATAAAAAAGGTTTCATAATCAATTATAAAACAAAAAATGTATCATATGCATTCAAATGGAAAGTCATCAGTTTTTTTGTAAACATCAATCAATTCCTCAATTCTTTCTCTTCTGTTTTCAATGTGTTATCACCATCTTTGTCATACATATCATCATCATCACCAACAGCCATAAAATGTGTACGGAAC